TACTTTCTCTTTTGGGATAATACTTTCAAAGCCTGACCTGGCTAACTGTAATCTTTCTCCACCCGCTACCTCCCTCTTCAAAAAGTTCATTAACAACGTTAAACTCGACTTCGGAAAACTCGCTTCACTATCAGAATTTTCCTTTCCCCTAATATTGCATCTCTGCCATGCTCGTAAAATATCATCAGGTAAGCAGGATTCTATCATGGGGTGTAGCCAGGCTGAATTACTTTCTATATCAAGCCCCATGGATTCTAAAGACCTTAAATGTGCTTCTACCTTGGTAAATAAGTCACACAATGATAATCTGTCTTTACCCTTTGCTTGAATATTTGCTGTTATTAATTTCAAAAATTCCCTGACATAAACTTCGATAAGAATATCTTTGTCCCCATAATGCTCTTGAAAAGCTCTCAAAGCTTTCGAATAATTTTCTTAAGTTATCAGGTAACTTTCTAATAAATGCCTAGCACGAGTTCCAGGTTCTACAGCTTGTAGCAAATATTGGAAGTTATCACAATCATCTAATTCTTTATCTTCATGTATCTTCTTAAACTGTGCCCAGAATGGCAAATAATTAATTAACTGAGAATCAAAAGGTTTTATATTCAATTTAGGTAATTTATACCGTTTGAGTTGTTACTGATATCAGAATTACTAAAAACTGCGTCATTTGGAACTTTGTTTACATTTAGTAATTCACTAACTTTTCTTTCGGTTACAGCCGAAAACATCGCGGCAAAAATATCGCAGACGAAAATGTCGCGGAGAAAACAACGCAAGGCGAAAACGTCGTGCTACAAAACATCGCAAAGAGAAAACATCGCATTTCTAAAACATCGGGGTACAAAACATCGTCGTCGAAAATAAAGCGGTTCTAAAACATCGCAGTTTAAAAACATCGTCGTTGAAAATATCGTGGTAAAAAATAAAGTATCTACAAATCATCGCATGACGATAACATCGCAGACATGCTTTTTTCAGGCATGCTTTAATAAGTGTAAATGGATATTCCCATAATGATTTGTGAGCGCAAGATGAAAAGAAGGATAATTTTTACTTTCATATTTTTTATTAATTAATAAATTTTTGCATTTTTGCTGAGAAAATAAAAAGGAAACTTAAGCATAAAAAAATTAATGCAACTTATAGCACTTAATAGAATTTTAAACCGACATAGTTAACTAACAAAGGCCATTAATAAATCATTTTTATAAAGTTTTTACTGGTAATATTTCATGAAAAGTATAATCTATAAGTTACATTTAATTTTCTATGCTTGAGTTTCCTTCTTACGTTTTCAGCAAACATTTATTAGTTAATAAAATATGTGAAAGTAAAATTTATCCTTCTTTACACCTTGCGCTCACAAATCATTATGGGAATATCCATTTACAATTATTAAAACCTGAAAAAAGCATGTCTGCGATGTTATCGTCATGCGATGATTTGTAGATACTTTATTTTTTACCACGATATTTTTAAACTGCGATGTTTTTGAACCGCTTTATTTTCTACGACGATGTTTTGTACCCCGATGTTTTAGAACTGCGATGTTTTCTCCCATGATGTTTTGTAGCACGACATTTTCGCCTTGCGTTGTTTTCTCCGCGACGTTTTCGTCCACGATGTTTTTGCCGCGATGTTATTGGCGGACACCTTTCTTTCAATTGTGATGAATTCATCAGAATATTCCTCACAGCTTATAACTTCGGTTTCTAAATCATCTTCATTGACACTGCCCTTAATTAATAAATCTAGTACCTCTGAATCATAAGATTTTAACTCGGCAGTTATCGTTTGTAATTTCACAATTTTATCTTTTAATACAGCTTTATCTGCTTGAGCATTTTTACTAATTTCGTTCTTTAGAACCTTAACCGTTCTAGTGAAAGCACTGTGTGCAGTTGCACGTTTTTTCTTTATCATATCAACATTCATTTTTACTTTAAACTCCACTCAAATATTTTATCTTAAATTTTAAAGTAATCCTTTTAACTTAATCTTATTTCCTCAATCCTTAATTGGATTCTTACACATTAATTTGTTTTACGTTGAAATTACTTTTATTCAAAAACATAAAACTTATAATATATATTTTAAGCTGAAAATACTAAATATCTATTTCTATTCAACTTAAATATAAACATGCTTTCATTCAACAAAATGCATCTTCAAAAAATATAAACATATTTCAAGTACTTCCGTTTTCGGAAGCATAAATAACTAGTTCTTCTCTAGGACAACACGTCCTGATGGCGAACGCCAAAAACTTATTATATTACATAATTAATCAACTACTATTGATCGAAGTTGTCAGAATCCTCTGACATATGCAGGTTCTATTTATATTGATTTAAAAAACAAGAAGAAAATTCATTTACCTGTTCTGATGCTTTGTTGAATCTGACGTGATGTTTCAGCTGGTAATCTTCTTTACAGAAAAACCACAATTGAATTTTCTTGACATCACATTTTATTTACATAAAACATTCAAAAGGAAAAAAATAAGATTTAAATACATTTTCTTGTACAGCCTCTCTTTTTCTTTTATGGCTGTACGAAACAATTTATCCGTTCATCACACGGATTCGAAAACGAACTATCCGCTCTTTACAAAAATAATAATAAAAACAAAGTTTTGATTTCTCTCACTAATCTCACTCCTCTAAGGGAAAGACACTTTATATGAGCATTTAACAATTTCATTTGGTGAACAACTTTCCAGAATGAATTAAATTTGTTAACCTATTAACCGCCAAAACTACTAGGAATGTTTCTTTTCTCATGAAAATAATAACAAATATTAAATTAAGCATTTATAACATAAATTTACATTGAAAATAAAAAAAAAAGCTCTTACCTGTGGAAAAAGCGAGTGTTGCGTTCGCGCAACGTCAGCAGAATCAGACTACGGATGTTTAGTGAGTAGGATTGTACTCGTGTGATGTTTCTTTTGAGTGGAGCGCAGGATTACTTTTTAGCTGTATAACGTTTTATAAATCTGCAAATCACTTTACTAGTAATTAATTTAATATTAAACTATCCATTGTATTTCTTTTACAAATACAGATTATTTCAATTGAAAGATTCAAGCATGAAAAACTTCATTACAATCATGATGTAAAGCTACGTTACATACTTTGCATCTATAAACAGTCTGGCTATGGTACTCTTTACAACAAAGTCTTTTGTTATCAACGGACTTTACGATAAAATGTCTACCATCTCCATGCAATGGTTTTTGAATGCTGAATTTACTAGGTCTTCCTGTTGCTGATCTATTTCTGGCTAATTCTAAACTCTCAATAGGAGTTTGCAAAAGGAATAATGCATCTTGTGTCTGAAATCTAAAAGAGACTTTATATTTCCAGTAGTAAAAAGTGGTGATATTTAGTAAGTTTAGATACGGTCTCAACTCATACAATTTATCAGTATTGTCAATTTGACTATTGTCAAATGGAAATTCTGTTTCATAAATTCTGTTTCATATTCCTGTACTGCAAACGTGATGTCGATTCTCGTACAACAGGAACAGAAATGTCCTTATCAAAAGACCAATACATTTTTTCTTGAGGTAAAGAATAATATTAATATCCTGTAAGCAATAATTTTCCAATAAATCTTCTCATATAGGCTTCAAATGCAATAAATTTGGGCCTTTTTTTTTTTTTTGCTGAGCATATATATTTGTCTGTTCAATGACAAGAGAGTAAATGTTTAAACCAAAACGAAAAGCGAAAATATGTGCACTAGTTTTACCTTGTATTTTGTCTTTTATAATTTCTCTTCTATCTCTTTCTTCATGTTCTTCCTGAGATATAACTAACAGTTCCTTTTTTATCCACTTCAAGATTTCAGTCTCCTGCTTTTTAAACTTTTTAGTGTGACTATAACTGCTTTTAGAAGGCTGGAACTTACTTCTTACGTGAATTTCAACTTCCCCAGCAGTATCATTTGGTAAAATATCATCATTATTTAAAACATTGCCATTCCTTTCTTCTTCGTCACTAGATTCTGCAATTTCTGGGGGAACAACAACAATATCAGTTTCATTCTGGTCATTATTAACATTATCATCATTTGTTTCTTCATCAAAAAATCTTTGAAGTGCTTCTTCTAATGTAAGATACCTCGTTCTAGGCATTTTTAAACAACCAGAACATCGAAAGGAATGAGTAAAAAGGAGATTGACTACCCGTTTCCTGCTGACATTGCATCAGCGCAACACCTGTTTTCCCTTCCTTCCCAACACAAATATAAACATCTGACTGATGTAATGTTCTGATAAACGATGACCTTGACTAAAAATAGATTACTCATAAAGACGGCAAATCTTTTGTTAAATATTTTCAGCAAAAATACCCGGTCGAAAATTTTGCTTCCTATGTATGAGATTAATTGTATGAGTAGGAGATTAATTATTATAAACAAAATGATTGTTGAAGGCAAATATTTTTTACGGAAATAATCTTCATAATATTCCCTACACAAAATCATCTGCTGGTATAAAATATCTTAGGTAGTTATATTTACATACGCATTTATTTTGACCGTTGCGTCAACGCAACACCAGCGGCTAATGGGTTAATCAAGGTTTTGCTGTACTCCCTCTTTCAATTGGACTGGCTGGGCTTTGCCTACCTTGCCTGTGTGGGTGCAAATGCTTTCCTAGGGCAGTATATTCATTAATTAAGACACAATAATATGTATCATATCATATATAAAAATATGAATCAGTATATTCATATTTTAAAATAATATTTAATAAGAAAATTAATTCAAAGTTTTAATTCATTTAAGTAATATAAAAAAATTTGGGCTTTTTTTCCTTTCACAGGAATTTTTTTTTTTTCATAAATATAGGCTGTTCAGTTCATATGTTGTGAAAATTTTTGTTTTGATTGGCAAATGATGATTTCTGCATATTATTATGAAATGTACTTCAGATTACTTGGCATTTTAAGTATTCTTTTGTTGATTATGTTTATCACATTTAGTTTTCAGAGTGTATGATGATTGGGAGAGATTTAGTAAGGTTACTATTAAATGTTGCTCGAATACCTGAATTTGAAAAACTTTGGAAAGACCTGTACTCAAATCCTACGTCATTTTGTCCAACTTTTACAGGTAAGCTCAATATTATGATTCATTACTTTATTATAAGGATTAGTTTAATGCACTTTGGGGTATTGTTATAGAATCTTAAAAGTATTGTTTTTGTTATTTAGGTGTTGTACAATTACTGACAATGAGAACGTCACGGCGTTTCCTTCAGTGTAGACTTACTCCAGATATGGAAAAGAAAATTGTATTTTTAACATCCCATGTATGTGTTATATTTTCAAATTCTCCTCAATGTAATTTTTTTTTTCAAAATTTTTAATTGAAGGATATTCTACTTGAAACTTTATTCTGCATCTCATTACCTTTTCATTACATCTTTGTAACAGTTTTGACAAGCAGTTGTGAATATTAATTTTTTAAACGTGCATATAGTGTTTAAAATAGGAATTCATAATGTTGGAGTTTTTATATATTTTAATTTTTCAAAAGCACTTTTTTATCTTAATTTAGTTATTATTCTGCAGATTAATTTTTATGGTTTTATGTGCACTATTTGTACACGCATTTGTTAAAATGTGCTATGGGCTTCGCTTCTGTAAAATATGCTGTAGGCTTTCGCAGAAAATTACAGTTTTAGAAAAATAGCAGTGAATTAGATTATGAAAATTTTTGCAATATTTCTGGGTTAGGCATTTAAAAAGAAAACTGAAGGAATGTGATGTTGAGAAATCTTAATTTTAAAATATGGAATATTTGTAAAAATTGCAGATGGGGGAAAAATGAAAAAGTTTGGGAGGGGATTTGTTTTATATTATTATCAGGTACTTATAAATTTCTTTAGTGTTTATTTATCACAATTTCTTTATGTATTTAAATTTTAATTTCACACATCTTTAGAGCAGTTTTTTTAGTAGGTATACAGTTCATTAGTGACATATAACAAAATTATCATTTCAGTTTAAATTCCATTATTCATTCAAATAATTCAGTTGTTTAAATTAAGAATTTAGATTTTACTGGAACTTGGACTCAAATTTTATTTTGAAGGGTAATTTTATTTGTCGAATCACTGGAATGTTTTTAAAAAATACTAGTAAATTTTTAAGAATTAGTGGTTAAAATGTAATTTATAAATCATAACAATGCATTAAATGAGTTTGAAGATATATTACAAATTATTTATTTTTTAGGTAAAATTTGGACATCAGAAGCGATATCAAGAATGGTTTCAAAGACAGGTTGGTGATCTAAATATTATCTTTACTTATTAATGTTTTGCAAAGAATTAGTTAAAATGAGTGAGGTTTGTGTCTTGTTTATTCCCATATGCTGATTTCAAGAATATTCTCAGAAATCTTGTTGATTTATGATAATTTAAATATATGAATTATAGTCTTAAGTATTAGGAATTAATTATATAGTAGATTTTGAAAATTCTTTGTAGTATTTTTTTAATTACTTTACTGAAATTTGAATGTAGTGAAGTACTTACTACATTCAAATTGCAGTAAAGCAATTAAAAACTAACTTCTTAAAATAGATACATGTACAGTATTTTACAGGGGTTGGACAAAAATATGGAAACACCTTTAAAAAAACATGTTTCTTTGCTTAATATGGTGTAGGAAACCCGTTGGCATCCAAAACAGCTTGCAGTCTTCTCGGAATGGATAAATACAGTTCCTGTATGTTTGCCAAGGGAATATTATAACCATTCTTCCTGCAAAACGGTGGCAAGTTCAGATAACGATGTTGGCGGTGGATGACGAGAACGCACTTTCCGTTCCAATGTAGACCACAGAGGTTCGATAATATTCAGGTCTGGTGACTGTGGTGGCCAGGGGAGATTGGACAACTCATCCTCGTGCTCAGAAAACCAGTCCTGGACAATGTGAGCTGTGTGAACAGGGGCTTTGTCGTCTTGGAAGATACCATCACCATCGGGGAACAAAGTTTGTACCATGGGATGAACTTGATCGGCCAAAATGTTCACATAAGTCTTGGCAGTCATGTGCCCTGACACAGTTATCATGGGGCTAGCAGAGAACCACGATATGGCTGCCCAAACCATAACAGAACCCCCCATGTTGTTTCACTCCGCCATGTTGAGATGGCGTTCTCCAAACATAAACTCGGCCAGAAGTGGGAAACAATGTGAAAGAAGACTCGTCAGACCATATTACTCGCTTCCACTGCTCTATAGTCCAGGCTTTATGACTTAAACACCACCTTTTCCTGTTACGGGCATTAGCATCACTGATGAGTCGCTTCTCAATTGCAGCACGGCCAGCAATTCCCTGTTTATGAAGCTCCCCTCTAATTGTTTTGGTACTCACAGGGTTCGGTAACACAACATTCATTTCAGCAGTAACTTTTGCAGCTGTGGTCTTCTTATTTTTCGTCACAATTGCCCTTAATGATCGTCTGTCACGATCACTCAGGACACACTTTTGTCCACCCTGTGATTTAGCAGATGATGTTTTTCCGCTTTTCAAATATGCGGAATAAATCTTCGATACAGTACCTCTTGAAACACTAAACACCTCGGCTACCTTGCTTACGGAAGCACCTACCATATGTGCTCCAAAAATTTGCCCACGTTCGAAGTCTGTTAACTCTGACATAATGCAATGACAACCTCACATAACAGTACTCCGACAACAACTGAACTGTTTAGCACATTTACGAAGTTGTATAGGTGGCGTCAGTAGTCAAACGCCAGCGCCACCTACATATTTCATTAAAATCAATCTTTCTTTTCAAACATGCATTTCACAAGGTGTTTCCATATTTTTGTCCATCCACTGTATGTCTTTTATTATTTATGTTTACCTAATATTTTTTCCTTTACAGTTTTTTTAAAGTTTAAAACTATTTAAGTATTAGAAAATGTAAAAAAAAAAATTAAAGATTGCTTTTTTCCATTTAAAGTATCTTTCAACACCTGAAAGCCAAACTCTTCGCTGTGATCTTATTCGTTACATCTGTGGAGTCATTCATCCAACAAATGAAGCTTTGTGTTCAGACATCATTCCTCGTTGGGCAGTAATTGGCTGGTTACTGACAACTTGTACATCTAATGTTGCAGCCTCTAGTGCAAAACTTTCCTTATTTTATGACTGGTTATTTTTTGATCCTGAGAAAGACAACATTATGAATATTGGTACTTTTTTTTAAAACTTTTATTATAGATTTTTAAATTCTATAATAGATTAATTTCTATAAATACAATTATAGATTTTTAAATTCTAGTTTTATTTATTCCTCAACTCTTAATTTGTATTTTATTTATTTATTTATTTGTAAAATAACATTGAGATATTATCTTTGTGTCGTCTTACTAATATCCTTTTTTTTTTAAATTAAGAATTCAAATTTGTGAAATCTTAATAGTGTTACAATTACAAAGTTTCTTACTGTTATTTTCTTTCTTTTTTTTTTTTTTTTTTTTTTTTTCCATCTACAGGTAATTAATTTGTAAGCTAGAAATATACTTGTAAAAATGTTTTGTGTTTTAAAGAAAATCCTTGCTTCACTTTTTTATTTCCTTTTATTTCAAAACATTTAATTTGCAAAGATTTGTATAGAATTAATTTTATTTTTCTAGAGCCTGCTATCCTTGTAATATATCATTCCGTAAGATCTCATCCTGTTATCACTGCAACTTTGTTAGACTTTTTATGCCGGGTATGTAATTATTTGATTCATTATACAAAGTATTTTCTCCCCCCTTGCAGAACTGAAGCTTATTTAAAATTTAATTAAATTATTCTTTTTCAGATAATGCCTAATTTTTGCTTATCTCTGAAGGCACAAGTTAAGCAAGGTATATACACGTCTTTGAAGCATATTCTGGAAAAACGGGTTTTACCGTGAGTATTATACCTGTACTTAAGTAGAAAAGTTTATATGATTTTTGTAAAATAATGACATTTTTTATGTTGCATTATAATTATTAATTTTATTATGTATGATGTAATATCTAGCTTTAAAAATCTGTCATATAATGTGTGTGAATTATTTTAACAGAAATGTTTAGTATTATTTAAAGATAAATTGAAAAGCTTTCACTGTTCAGCCATGAAATTATACCTCCATATTTCTCTTATTACATTAATATTCAACCATGTTCCTATAAAGATGATATATTTTTTATTATATGATAAATGGTGTATGATGTGGCCATCAAGTTTTACCTTAGTGATTATAGATGCTGCTGATGTTGTATATTATGTGCAAATTGAAATTTTTGTTACACTGTCATTCAGATAATTAAATTTTTATTTAGCCATGCCATAAAAATTTGTGATATATTTGGAAACAAATGTTGTCAGATTTTGTATTAACTTTTTGTACCCATATTTATATGTATGGAGTCTTGCAATCAACTCGTAATTTTTTTGTTATTTAGTCAAGATAAAAACATTTTTATTGAAATATATTACACCTTAACTTGGAAGTTTAGTAAGTGAGTTTAAAAAAATATATATTTCTGCCTACACTCCATAGTACATGTTGCATAAATTAGTAGATGGGGCAAGATGGAGAAGGATACCTGGAATACTGCAAACAAGCTTCTGCAGTTTAACTTTTTCCGGGCCGATGTCACGCTGGCATGACTTTTGCTCTCCAACGGTTATCGGCCGCTGTCACGCTGGCGTGACTTTTGCTCGGCAACAGTTATCAGCCGCTGTCACGTACACGTGACTTATTTTCGCCAACGACGATGCTTCACTTCGACATTTGTATAGATAGACATACTATAGCAAAACATTTAACAATCAGGAAACCTTGGTTTCAATTGTTTCCCTCTCCCAATTGACCAGACTGTCTATTATTGAAATCTTTTTTCGTGGACGCTTGTTTTGTTAGTTTGAGACTGTCTTTCGCTGCCTTCAAATATCGGAAACTTACGTTAGATTTAAAGATATCCTTCAAAATGCTCTTCGATGAGGAAATATATGCTGATCTGTTTTCAGAAGAGGATAATTGCTCTGATAGTGAAAGTGATTTGGACAGTGGGAGCGATATAATTGTGAGATGATTCAGAAATAAGGGAAGACCAATAATTAGTGAATCTGAAAGTGATGAAGAGAATTCTGTGGCAAATGATTGGTCAGAAATTGATTTTAAACCTAACTTTCATGCTTGCCTGGAACGGTTTGAGTTACAGGTACCATACACACCAGATATATTATCAACTGTGGAATTGTTCATTGCGGACGATTTATTTAATTTGTTTGCCACACAAACAAACTTATATCATAATCAGCAGAATAATGATAACAACAATGAATCAAAAAGAATAAAGCTTGGATTGATACAAATGTTGTAGAAATGAAAAAACTTTTGAGGTTTGTTATCCTAATGGGAATAGTAAGAAAACCAGAAAAAGATGATTATTGGTCTACTCACCCTGGATTACATACACCTATTTTTGGAATACTATGCCAGAACCGATTTCAGCAGTTATGGAAGTATTAGCACTTCAGTAATAAGGAGCATTGCCAAGAAAGGCTTGATAAAATAAAACCAGTTTACTCGTACCCGGTAGAAAAGTTTCAAAAAATTAATAAACCCGAGAAAGAATTATCGCTGGATGAAGGTATCATTCCATGGAGGGGCAGGCTATCTTTTTGTACATATAATCCTGCGAAAATGAAAATATGAAATTTTAGTCCGTATGGTGTGTGAGGCGACATCTGGTTATATATGCAATTTAGAAATATATTGCGCGCAAGGAAAATCGCTAATTGCAACAATATTGTCCGTGCTATCGCCATATTTAAATTTATGGCACAATGTATATGTGGACAACTATTACAATAGTGTAAAGGTTGCAGAGGAGTTACTAAAGCATAAAACAAACATCTGTGGCACAATTAGAGTAAACAGAGGAGTGCCAAATTGTTTAAAATCTGCTACATTGAAAAATAAGTCAATGGAATTTCGTAGGAAAGGGAAAATTATGGTACAAAAATGAAATTCGGCCAAAAAATTGATAATGATGATTTCTACGATAACTTCAGCAGACATGGTCGAATGTGTGAGTAAAAGAACCAAAAAGAAGTGCATTAAACCAATTTGCATACAAGAGTATAATAAATTTATGAAAGGTGTTGATCACGCTGATCAATACCTATCGTGTTATTCCATATTTCGCAAAACAAAAAAATGGACAAAAAAAATGGTTTTATATCTCATAAACTGTGCATTACTCAACGCGTTCCAGATATACATAAAAAATTCTGAAAATCCTATTAGATTCAAACAATTTTTACTAAACCTTGCACTAGCATGGATTAATGGGAATGAAGAGGGGCAACAATCAAGATCGGCTGCTCAATGTGATAAAAGATCGCCGAGGTTTGATCCACCAGGCAGACTTACTATGGACGTGAGAAAACATAGAATTAACACGTATTAGTGGTAATGGGAGAATTCGAAACCCGCGAAGGGCCTGTAAAGTCTGCACTGCCAAAAAGAAAAGAAGTTCCACTACATGCATGTGTTCTTCCTGCAACGTTTCTCTGCATGTTGGAAAATGTTTTCAGAATTATCATACTAAAAAGAACTATGGATCCTAGGTGTTAAATTTTTTAAATAAAACGTTTTAGTACTAATTAAAAAATATAATTGGAATAAAATGAAAAAAAAAATAGTGTAACAGTTATTTTGCTTTCTTTAATAATAATTATATACCAACTACTTATGTTTCGAAAAATTGCATAAATATCACCGTTGGCGAGCAGTAGAACCTGCGTGAATCGGCGGCAGCATAATGGCGCTTCAATAAATGCGCGGCCCGCAAAGTTTTAATGAACTACTACCCCTCCATCCCAATTCCCTCCACACACCATCAATGGGTGATAAAAGGCTACATGTAGGCATAATGGTAAAAAATAGAATGGCAACATACAAGTGCAGTGGTAAAGCATATTTTGATGACTGGATGGTTACATACAAATGTGAAAGATTAATTTAAAGTTTCTATCAAATAAGATCTGTATCTAAAAGAAAGGAAGTAACTTGAGTATGTACAAATTTGGGATGGGATTTTTATTTGAGCAGTTCTTTAATGGTATTGTTAATCATTCTATTCACATATTTTTAGCAGTGCATCTGAATGCATTTTTTATAGTCATTATATTTTTTGTACATGAGGAATTTAATTACAATTTGAAAAACTTTTGAAATCAAGTTTTAATTCCACCTAATGAGCTGATAAGATTTATGTTTAAAATGCTATCTTATTGAAGGTTTAAACACTGGCATGTAATTCAGGCACTTAAATCATGCAAACCATTAAGATATTTGTACTAGTTCCCCATGTTGCCTGTTTATTTTTGTAGTAGTATAAATGCCATATTTTTTTTTAGGGTACTCTTCTGTTATCGGAACGGGATTCAGCAATGTATTTGTGTATGCATGCATGTGTTCATGTTTGCATGTATATAAATATGTATACATATGTGTGTATATGCACATAGGCACGTGCATGTACATAGCATACATTTCTGAATTCAATCCCAATAACAGAAGAGTACCTTTTCTAAGTTGATTTGTAAGAACTAATAATAATAATTCAGTTTTAAAATGGCCTTTTTTAGATGTGTAAGAGCAAGTAAATTGACCAATTATAATTTAAATCATGAGCAGTTAGATATTACAGTTCGCAGAATTTAAGACTATTAGGTTATAATTTTATTTTGTATTATTTATTTGTAAACCAATGCTTCCAGGTGGCAGAAACTGAGGTTATATAAATCATTTGGTGTTAATGGGGTGTCAGTCATTGTATGTATACTGAAGTGTTGAATGTAGTAGTCTCTTTATATTGCATCTTAAATAGCAGTGCAATGATCTTGCTGTGGATAAGTGAAAAGAATTATAATCAATTCAAGAATTTTGTTGCAGTTAAGCTAATTAGCAATTGTAGAATAAGAACATCTGCAAATTAACTATAAATGCAAGATTATTATTGATCTTGATATAGATATCATGTATGAAATGACAAATATTTGCATGGCAATGATTAGATCTAGATTCCTACCTTGACAAATGGTAGCAATTGCATGAAGAATACAGATGTTTTCTGAAATGCTAAATGAAATTGGCAGCTTTATGCCTTCTGTATAATCTGAAATTAATCTGTTAAAATTATTTTGTATTTGTCTTTAATTTTCTTTTATTTATTCTGGATTTAATAAAGTAGTCATTCTTTTCATGAAGCTTTAAATATTATTAGGGTTGCTCTTACTTAATTAGCTTTCACGCCAAAGTTTACATTTGCCATTAAGTGATGCCTCACTTCCAAAAAGCACCGTTAGCTTTTGACGAAACATTGATATATGTTCTGTATTTTGAAACTTCAAAACACAATAAAAATTAGTTCTTTTTATAAACTTTTTTTCGTTTTAGGTCCTTATCACCTCTGTTTGATAGTTCAAAATTAGATCCGGAGTTGCAAGTTTTATTAAAAGAAACTTTTCCAGAATTTTGTTCACCTTCTGGAAGTAAGTAGTTAATATTTTTTAATTCAGTGCTTGATATATATTTATTATTTTATTTTTCTCATCGGATTAACCTTTTGGTGGTGGGATGGCCATTATTTGGCCTTGGTATTTGCTGTGTGAAAGGACAGATATTTCATTGTTAGTGGTCATTTCTTTTCTCCCATTTTCTAAGCTGAAAGGGTTGATTGAACTGTCAAGTTTGATGTCCCCGGAGTCTTAACCACTTATCACTGTCAGAGGTCTTTGTATTAAGGATCCAGTTTTACCTGGTGCTTCCTTTTCGTTCTTGCACGTTCAAAATTCGGGGTAACCTCATTCGTAAATCATAAATAGAGTATCTTGCACTTCTTTGAAATATTATTTATCTTTGCAAGATTTTGCGGATTTTTTTTTTGGGGGGGGGGCTTCATTTTATAGCAATATGCCAAAACGGAAAAGAAGGTTGACTGGAAAAGAAATGCGAAAGTGCAAGTTTTCTACAAGGGTTTGTGAAATGTTATATTATAAAACTCAGAACCATTATACAAGGAGCTAAAGATGGCAACTAACTATCTTGTAACTTGCCATTCTTTCAAAAACTGTATACAGTGCACAGTTTTTCTCTGCAATATGAAAGCTTTTTTCTTTAAAAAACTTGCAATGCAAAATAATACAAACAGTATACAGTACAGGTCATATTTAAAGTAAGCATTGCATATATTTTAAATTCACTCTTAAGTATTAGGTTTTCATGAAAAATTTTTAACACTTATTTAGATTTAAAATTTTAACTTTTCTGCAATTTAAATTTTAATAATTTCTGTAATGGCAAGTTTTTATTTTTTAACCATTCCTTCCATGGAAAAAAATTTAAAGAATTAGAATATTTTTAACAAAACAACTAAAAATTACGAGGAAATACAACTATAAGTAACTTTTCTGTTTACTGCAACATTTGCATCAGTTTTTTTCATTTAAAAAGCTATGAATGTTTGTAAACTTAAAAAAGAGTAAGGTCATGAATTCTATAGAAAAAAAATTCAGGTGTAAAAAATGAGATGGAAACCTGAGATAAATAAAAAAGATGAAAGAATTTTTTTTTGTAATGGAATTATACATTCTCTTCAACATATCACTGAGTAGTCTGATTAGGAATTAGCTGCCACTTTAAATTTTCTATCTACAAGGAAAAGCATCAAGCAATTTAGTCAATCATCCCTACATTTCCCTTCGTTTGTTAAATAAATGCATCTCTTTAAGGATCAACGAAACTACCCAACAGGGTCATTGTTACTTATAGCAAGGGACTTCTTGAAGAGGGGGGGGGAAGCATATGGTACACAAACCTCCATCTTTTTAAGGATCTTCTAGGTGTCAAATCCCCAACCTCAAAAAATTAATAAATTTCGAAATTGTTCACTTCATGCTATAAAATATATTAGCATTTGGTATTTATTATCAATAAAAGGTTAGCTTGTTTTAGCAACTGTAATAAGAAATGAAACTGTGTTTTCCAAAGAATTTGTTTTTCTTCCAATCATATTTTCTGAGTAGTCATCTCTAGCTAGTGTTTACTTCTGAAAGCATTTCCTCTGGTCATCAGATATGTGCTGTAAGATATTTTTTATGATGTCTTTTTAAGACTCCATAGTCATGTTTCATAAGAACTAAAGATACAAGACTCCTTAGGACTACCTTAAGGACCAGCGTTGAAAGAACGAAGTGCAGTCACAGGACCGCACCCGCTGAAATGGATCATTGCCACCGGCCCGCACAGTTTGAGCAGTTAAGCCTAATTAAAAAAAAAAATTGTATAAAATCAGCATTTTGATATTATGACTTCAATTTTTGAAGTTATGTATTTAATGTACTTGTTTTTAATGTTTATTAATATAAAGAATATCACATTAATAGAAATAAATTAAGCAGGCAAAATACTAAAATCATTACTATGCACACAAAAATAAGTACTGTAAACATAAAAACAAATTATAAATAAGAAATAAAAAAAAAAAAAAAAAAATCTGCTGTGTGTGAAATAATTCAAAACAAGGTTCGACACAGTCCTACATTGCATATTTCACACTCAAAATATGTTGTTTGCTTTCACTTTTCCTAGGTTTTAGTGGCCCACCAGCGGCCAAGCGGTAAAGTCGCTGAACACTGGTAGTTCGGTCCGAGGTTCGAATCCCGCGAACGAATGGGTTCTGGCTGCATGGGCGTTTTCGTGGTTTTCCCCATGTGTAACGTGTATACGAGCCAGTTTCCCTTAGAAAGTCCTTCACGAAGGCATCCCTTCCCGTAGGCAGATAGCCCTAGCGTGCTTTGCCATAATTAAATACACCACACCATCCTAGGTTTTAGTGCACACAACGCATCTTCTCCTATTTTTATTACCTTTTCTATCAATGTAAATTTTCGGAAACTGTCTTTCGGTTAGATGGAAAGATGGAGTGACCAATTATTTTGGACAAGTTTCTAAGTAAAGTCTCTTAGCCATGGGTAGCGGAATGAAACTGAATATAATCCCAACTCATGTCCCAAAAGTTCTTCAAAAGACACTCAGAAATATTTCATCCTCAAACCCTGTGTGACATCAGGTTTATATTAGAAAACTTTCTGTTTTTCTAAATCGAAAACATCGTCCATGATGACTGGAAAGTGATCAAGGAAAGACTCCCACTGGCGGAATATCCATTACTGATCGCGTCAATCTATACATTATATGTAACGTAAAAACATTATATACTAAAACATAATGCCTGTTTCATTATATATAATGACCATTCAGGGCATTATATATTTTTGCTAACATTTAATCAAGTAAGAAAAACAAAAAAAGCTGGCTCTTTTCTGAGAAATGTTAGCAAGACGCATTATGCATCGAAGAAGCTAATAGTCTTTCTCCTTTTGTAATAATGTTGTAATGTTACTTTTTAATTAACCAAGAAAGCTTATGTTGAGTTTCAAAATAAATAGATAGGAAGAAAAAAGAAAATCCTAACGAAATAAACAAAAACGCCTGTGCAAAGTACCGTGATTTCCAGTTTGTTTATTTCAATAAATCTCTCAAATCCAGAAGTACAAAACAGAAACTAATGCCAATACATGAAGGTCAAATGCTGTATGAATCAACCTATGTGAAAACAATTACCACTTAGCTTCATTTACTGGCTTTTAAAACTTCAAATAAATCGTTCCATTTTAATGTTGCATATACGCGATGCTGGGCTCATAGGAGCAGAATTGTTGCGTCGCGTGTACAGGAAGCTGGGCTGGTAGTAGTGGAATCTTTGCATTGCGTATGTGCAATGCTGGTTCTGAACGGGTTAATCATGTTCCATAAGAACTAAAGATACAAAGAAAAATCTGTGTGTAACTTTATTATCTGGGGATGGAATTGCACATGTCAGATGTAGACGTTTATTGTAGATAGAGTATTATTTTTGACATATATCATAATGTTTGTCATCTAAATTTTTGTACTATCATGATGAAGATACCAAGAAGGATTTAATTCCGATTGTTTCTGTTAAATTTGATTTCCTGATTTCATCAAAACTGATGGATAATACTAGGCTATAACTATCTGGTACAGAGAAACCTGATACATCCATCAGGAACTTAATCATGCCTGCTTCATACTTCATTGTATATCATCTGAGAAATATTTAAACAATCAGAATGTTCAATATTAGGCAGAAAAAGCAATTTTAGTTTGACATAAATTTTGACTAAAACTGTTGATTTTAAGGTTGATGAGATACAGGTCCCTCTTCTTCAAAACCAAAAAAATAATTTGGCAAAGTTTTGCTTTTGTAGACTTGTATCTGAAGATTTTTGTCATGCTTCACAAAAAGAAAAATATCATGTCTATATTCATGTTTCACGCTGTCACTTTTTAATATGTTTGAGATAAATATATTGTAGATACTTTACAAGAAACACAATTAGTGTCTGAATACCATATTTTGAGGTAGAACTAGGTAAATATGGGTTTTATTAATATAGATGAAATGGTAAGTAATCTAAATATAATTTTTACTGGTTGTACGTATGAAATGGGTCTAATTTTTACAAGAGAAGTTTAAGGAAAAGGTCATCTTATTCTTCTGTCATTATAACAATTTTATTCTTCTGATAATTCTTCATAAAAACATTTAATGAAACAAATTATAATATGCACTTCTCAATTTCGTAAGTCAGATGTAAAATGTACATGTTTTCAACATTCTTTTATCAGTTTTATTTATTTATTCTCATAAAGAATCTGTTACATACACGTTTTATTGAGATTTTCTGTTGGGTTGTCTGAAAAGTCACGATGCATTTTTTCTGTGTTCTTCAAATGTTCTTTGATTATAATACAAAGAACAATGGTCAATGAATAGTGTATTACCCCATTTTGCTAGATTACTTTTTGCTTTCTTCTGATGAGTTTCGTAGTTCCTCTTTCACAAAAGAATCTAGTTTTATCAGCAAAAAATCTGAACAAGTTGCTGATTTACAGCCTCATCTGAACTGAATGTTATACCACAAGAGAAATTTTGAAGAGAGGGAAGCATGTGAAAGTTTGAGGGTCATGCGAATCTGATATGTGTGACAACACTTTTCATCCAAACTCCAATTATTTTTGTCAGGTGTGTGTGGTCTTACGTTATTGCGATGGAATGCTGTTCCTGTATCATTAATGAGCTCTGAAAGTTTCTGGATGATGTATTCATTGGAACTGTCCACTTCGCAACAGCATACATTCGAACTGATTTGATGGCTTCTTGGAAATAATTGGTGGGAGCTTGGAAATAATAGCACATACATCTTTGGTCACTGACAAAAAATATTGGAGTTTTGATGAAAAGTGTTGCCATCCATATCATACTCACCTGATCCTATGCTTTCAGACTTTCACTTGTTTTGATCTCTTCAGAATTGTTTCATGGTATAACATTCAATTCAGATAAGACCATGAATCAGCACCTTGTTCAGCTTGTTGCTGATAAAGCTAAGTTTTTTTTTGTGTGAATCAGGAATTGTGGAATTCATTAAAAGAAAGGCAAGCATTATTGAACATAACGGGGTATACGAGATGGGACACACACACGCACACACACACACACACACACACACACACACAAAAAAAAAAAAAAAAAAAAAACTGTGTAGCTTGAAAATAGAGTGGAGCTGGCAACAACTGTTTTGATGATGTCATGCCATACACCTTCTCTATTCATGCGGCCAGTTTTGACTTAACCAACCAGGCCAGTGGGGAGTACTGCGTCATTGACTGAACATGTGCAACTGCATTCTGCCGGAAAACTGTCTAACGTAAAAACCAAACAATGAATCAACATCAAGTTTCTTAAGAAATCAGCCACGGAGAAAACATTTCAAATGTTAACCAAGGCTTATGGAGATGAAACTTTGTGTCATGCGCATGTGTTTGAAGGGCATAAGAGGTTTTCAGAGGGAAGGGACAGTGTAAAAGATGATGAACGTGCTGTGCTGGGCACCCAGCATGTTCATGATTGAATGGGTTCCCACCGGTCAGGCTGCTAATCAACACTACTACCCTGAGGTACTAAAAAAAAATGAAAAAATTAGGGGGGAAAAAGACCACATTTGTGGAGTGATGGATGGCTGTTGCACCCACTGACACTGGCCTATTTGTCAAGCAGTTTCTGACCAAAGAAAACATTACTGTGATGAGGCATCCTCCTTATTCATCTGATTTGGCTCCATGCGACTTTTTCTTTACTTCCTAAAGTTGAATCTTACTTAAAGAAAACTCATTTTACCTCAGCTGAAGAAGTTCAGGCAAAAACGGAGAATCTCCTGAAGGGCCTTCCAAAAACCTCGTTCCAAAACTTTTACCAGCAATGGCAGCACCCAATGCAGAAGTGTGTGAATGCTGAAATGAACTACTTTGAAGGTGATAATGTCACGGAGAACTGATTCTCTAAATTTAATGATTTATTGGACCAGTCTTTTTTTTTTTTTTTTTTCCCATTGTGTGTGTGTCACACCTTGTATACTGTTTATTGACTGATCATTGTTCTTTATATAAATAAAGGACCTTTGAAGAGCATATAAAAAAAAAATGTGTCATGACTTTTCAGACAACCTAATAATTGATTATTTTTTCTTTCTTTCTTCTGTCTGGAATTCTTTAAATGATGAAGATTAGAAGATGGATGTTTGTCATCTTGTGATATTGATCATAATTAGTTCCAAATTAAAGTAAAAAAGAAAAAAGTAATATTGGTTGATAGTACATAAAATTATGCAAAAGAAAGTCTTATATTTATTTCGATTCTTTTTTGAAATATATATATATATATATATCTTTACTTAGAATCATTAAATTAATCTTTTGTTAATTTTCAGTTAAAATAGATGAACCTCTTAGAGATTCCTCAGAGCTAATGGTTAAAACAAATCACACTTCAGTTGTTAATAATACTGAACATGAAGCTCAGTTCAGTGAAGATGAAGATGACATTCCTTTAGGTATACTTTCTGTCATTTTTCAAAAATATTATTATTTCAGAAGTATCATTTTACAAAATTAATCCATAATAATCACATAGTGTAAAATAAGCTGAGAAAGTGGCGTTTACCTTGAATGACATTGAATGAATTATTTTGGTTCACAGTTTCGTATTATGATTTTCCTAATATAGATCATTAAAATGCTTGGGATGTAAAATGGAAAAATAAGCATAACCCTGAAGTATATATATGTATTATTTATTTTATACTTTTATCTAAGATCATAATGTTAATGCTGCTCAGTGAATATCGGTATTTATTTTAATGTTATATAAATTAAATTTTTCAGTAAAACTAGACAATGTCAATGATAAATATTGTACAGTATCAATGTAGTAATTTTTAAAGGTAAAAACTTCCTTCTGCTTGGATTAATAGCTTCATTTTAGTTCTTAAAATGAGTTCTGCATTATTTTCAGCAGGTGGTATCTAAATTTTATAGTTATCACAACTTTTTAAAATTATTATTTGCGTATATTATGATTGAAGAAATGCATAATTTTTTCTATCATTTGTTTAATCTTTAACTTGCAGTTTCTGAAATGCATATGGTAGCATATTTTTTTTACTCATCTATGAAAACATTTATACAGTACAAAGTGCAAAATCCAGACATCTAATATCCAGACTTTTGAACCACAAACCAAGAATATATCTATATATAGATGAGTAATAATTACCATAGATCATAGGGTCGCATTCCACTCAGAGAGGCAGAAAAGAGGAATATTAGAATTCCAATCTGAACTTACAAACAGTGTTGGAAGAGTGAACATTTGAGACCAAAAGTTGCACAATCAGTTTAGAGAACACTCACAGAGAGTGCACAAAACAGATAAAACCAAAAACTTGTCTTTCGAGTGTTAATTCAAGCTCAGAGTTTGATGGTAGACACTCAAATGCACATCTTTGATTGGCAAGGTCTCAACGTCTTAAACAATTTCAACAAGTTAATTATCTAAATATCTATTGGGGGGGGGAACTGCTACTTTGATATCAAGTATCAAGGTAACAGTTTTTCCTCCTTCATGATCTTCTATCCTGTCCTCGTGGACTTACTGTGCTGCACTCATTCTACTTGATGTGTCCTTCTAGGGGACACAAAGTCCTGACAGTGGGAACGCAGCAAAAACTTTTCATGCTAATCTCAGCAGATGTTGGAGTTGATAATATTCAGCCTTTGGTTAGATAATTAACTTATTGCAATCGTTTGTGAGGTTACCTTGCCAACCAAAGATGTGCATTTGAGTATTTGCCATTAAAGTCTGAGTTCGAGTTAACCCTTGAACGCCAAGTTTTCAGTTTTATCTGTTTTGTGCACTCTGTGAGTTTTTCACTAAACTGATTGTGCAACTTTTGGTCTTGTTCATTCGCTCTTCTGACACTGTGGTAAGTTCAGGTTGGAATTCTAATATTCTTTTTTCTGCCTCTCAGAGTGGAATGCGACCGTATGGTCTATGGTAATTATTGCTCATCTGGATGAGTACTATCACCCCTCTTAATTTGTAAAAACAATTTAGAATCACCCTGTATATAGAATAATAATAAAATCCCCCCTTTTTTTTCAAAGTCTAGAAACGGAGAATAACAAAAAAAAAAAAAAAAAAAAAAAAAAAAAAAAAAGGCAGGTGTATCATAATTGCTTTTCTCTGGACTAACTGTGATTTGTCTACCCCAGCTGGCTAGACAGTCACAGTAACCAATAACTATGCATTAATTGACTTTGTTTTAATATTCACTTGGATCACATTTTCAGCCTTTGAGTGGTTATAAAGGAGAGGTCAGAGCATTTTGTTGGGTTCTGAATTTTGTTGCCCTGTACCTTTCTAACTTGAAAAAAAATTTCACAGCCTCTAAACTCTGCAATTGAGTGCAGCTTGTGAATTCTATCTAGTTGCACCTACTGTTGCCTTGTGGGAATGAGGTTAGCATTTCTTGTGTTTGCCCTAAACAGTAAGTCTCAATGTTGCAGTGTCTGTATGTGACTAGATTTAATCTGATGATTTAAAATTCAGAAATTTCCAGAATCACTGAAGTCCCTACCACACCAGATCTTAAACTTTGTCCTATATATGTATTTTTAAGTATGGATTTGTTATGTGTGATTCTTCAATTTGTTAAATAACTTTTTTATCATCCATATTCAAGCAGATAAACTTCGGATCCGAGATACAAAGTTTCAACCAATCAGGGAGACCAAAGAGGATCAGATTGTCATTACCGAACTAATACAGCAACTAAATGACAATATTAAACAACAGATTCTCAGTTTACAAGAAGAAAAGTATGTAATTTTTTTTTTAATGTTGTAATATATTTTGCACTTTTAGCCTGTTGACTGCCAGTGTTTTGTTCTGTGCACAATTCTTATGCACTGTTTCCCTGCCATTTAAGCCTATGTGCATAGATATTTTTCCCCCTAGTGTACAAATGTGTAATATGTGTAAATACGTGGTTAATAAATTTTATGTTAACCTAGAAATACACTTTAAATAACTGCTTTAAGTATATGTCGCAGTATAGTGATGGATATACTCATGCATGGCAGTAAACAGGTTAAATATTTATATATAGTTATGTGAATATTTAACTGAATATTTGTAACTTAAGTACTAAAAAGTGATTTTAGCAAAATGTGGTTAGTGGTAATTTGAATATATGTCATTCATTATATGGATTTATTAATTAAGCATTTAGAGACAATGCATTGACAATACAGTTTTTATTTATGAAATTTTTTTTTAAGTTAGTAAAAATTGTTAGCAACAACAAGGACATCTAATTGTTTATTATTATTATTACTGTTGTTGTTGCTTTTATCATCTGAAAAGAAAGAAAGAGAATATTCTACCTTTATGAACTTATTTGGGTTATTTAATTATATATTTTTATTATTACTCTAAAACCTGTTCCTAATTTTTGGATTATTATTATTTAAGTATTACTGTTCTGAAAATGTTTTTGATTATTACTATTTTACTGTTATATGTGCTCATAATTCTGTGAAAGGTTTATTAGGATATTTGTTAAAAATTAATTCTTCTCATTTAAAATCTAAATACTGTTATAAAATTATCAGTTTCATTCTTTTTAAAATGTCATTGTTTAGAGAGAGGTAAGAAATTAAACTGTTTTTTCTGCTATTAAGAACTCTAAAGTAATTATTAAACATTTGGTAGATATAGTATTTTACTTTTTTATGTATTTTAGAGACATAGTTTTAGTGACTAATTAATATAAAACAACTCTTGTATCTTTTTATGCATATCAGAGATCCCTTTTTGTTTTTTTTACTACCGTACTACCTATTAATCTTAATAAGTGCTTTTTTATTTTATAGTACTTAAAAAGGTTTCATACAGTTCTTGCTTTAAATGTACATTTTTAATTTGATGTAGAAATCATATGGATTGATAAATTTTTCATATGTCAATGTAAATATTAATTTTTTTATTATTTTTTTTCCATGCCTGGAAGCATTTCCACATACTTGCTTTTTCTTATATTAAAGTGAAAACATTCAAATAAGTTGTCCTTTTTCTATTACAGTGTTTAATTTCAGGGTTTGTACAGCCTTAAGAGTCCTTAGGTTTTGGGGGATTGATTTTTGTTACTTAAAAGTCCTTAATTTTAATCATCTGAAATTTCTGTCTGTTTTTACAACTGCTTTTTTTTTTTTAGCATGAATTAGCATTTTCGAGGAATGTGTTCAGCGATTCATTGACTAATATGGTTATCTTTTGAATGGATTCATGGGTTATAATTTGTTCCTATTTCTAATATAAATGGTAGGATACTCGAATTTCTGAGCAAGAAGTGAAACATAAGCATTTCAAAATTATTTCATTTTTTTCTAATGAAGAGCTCTTAAACAACTTTTCGCTTTTGGGAATATGAATTCTTCTATTAAACGATTCTAAATTTGGCAACTTATCAACATACTGGCAATTTTTATGATCAGTTTCTATAGGAACTTTTAAATCCAGGATCTGGTAATTTAAGACACAATGACACGCCGAATAAATACTAATTCAGAAGTCAAACAACAAAAATCAGCGTTATATTTACCAAATTTTCACAGGACTAGTTTCGATGGTTTTACTGAAGATGGTGGTTCGGTAAAACCATCGAAACTAGTCTGTGAAAATTTGGTAAATATAACGCTGATTTTTGTTGTTTGACTTCTGAATTAGTATCTGGTAATTTTTCGAGGATTTTTTTAAAACATTGTAAATTTCATTTAAATAATTGTAATATATTGAAATTTAAAAAATAACATTAAAATAAAACATTTTTATTTTCCGCTTTCATAGTAAAAAGTTCCATTTTTGACACTTATTATACAATATTTTAAATCTGAAAAATAAAGGAGGTATTATGCTATAAATCACTATTAAAGAAACAATTCTTAGCAAAAGCAAAATAGCTATGAAATTAATTAAAATGCCTTACTACCTATTAATCTTAATAGGTAATGTTAAGAGATATTTTTTAATTTAATTTTTTCATGTTAAGAGATTTTCGCATGTAACTGTGTCAACATATTCAGAATTCTCAGAATATGCATTTTCTGTATAAAATTAATTTTACACTTTTCCCCTCTGATTTTTCTCCCAAAATATTTCTGGCTTTTTGATGTTACAGAATTGGTAGGGATAATTTTTCTAGAATTTTAGACATTTCTAGGATTTTAGTGCCTTTCTAAATTCTGCTTCCAGTGCTTACTCTAAATTCTAAAACTTTTTCCATTTCTAGATTTTTATTTCTCAGTGCGTCACTAAATTAAAAAAATTCTGCTACACCTCTGTAACCGGCCCTTGGCATATACATTTCATATTTTTTCTGAATGTTCATATTATTAAAGAAATAAAATTAGCGCATTTTTTCTATACATTCTAAATGCATTTAGTATTTTTAGAATAACAGAAACCTTTATTTAAATGCAAAATTCTAAAATAAAAAGGAAACATGTTGAAGAAAAGAAACTGAATACATAAAGAAAAAGAAAATTATTCTTCAAAGATACAGTTATTATTATGTAAATTACCCAGTTGTTTATAATTTCAGCCTTTACTATAATTTCCTATTTCTATTTCCTGACTAGAATGCAAATCACCTAGGCAGTTTTTAAGCTGAGGTTTTTGGAGTGTAAGACAGTGTTTCTGACTTCCGCTTGCTCGCTCCATTAGTTCCTCCCCGCTCTTATAATTTGTAATTATTCGTCTGTTAATATCGATGCTGACATTTGCATTTGTTATGATAGTTAAACATTAATATACAAATTACTGAGCCAGTTTAAATTAAAATTAAATTGTATAGTCTTTGACCACTAAATACATGTAGTAATTTATGACATTGATTCATAAACTATATTAGGATAGTTAACACATTAAAAGCTACAAAACATTTATGTTTCATAACAACAACACTCAACAAAATAGTTATCCATCATTTTGACTTGAAGCCTTCCCAAACATTTTGGTTAGTTTATATCGATTTTCTACATTTTTAGTTTGTATTTGACTCTTCTTGTTTAATTACATCGCCACGAGCTGTAATTGATTTTCTTAGCATAAGAACATGCCTCTGTGTTCTAAGGGCTTTCTAAATAAGAGGCTTATTTAAACCTTTGTCTGACTTTGTAGTTACTTTCAGACATAGAGATATTTTGCTTTACGTCTGTTGGGAATTTGGGACTATTTAACTTTTACCAGATCAAGTAAACCCTCATACGTACATTGTGGAGAGGTTGACAGGTTAGGAGATAAAGCCTACAGAAACTAGCAAGAGCATTGGTTTGTGTATTGAGACAAATCTCTAATTGTTAGAAAAGATGCTTAAAGAGAAGAAAATCGACGTACATTGTGTAGAGGTTAGGAGATAAAGCCCACAGAAACTAGCAAGAGCATTGGTTTGTGTATTGAGACAAATCTCTAATTGTTAGAAAAGATGCTTAAAGAGAAGAAAATTGATATAAACTAACCAAAATGTTTGGGAAGGCTTCAAATTAAAAAGATGCATCATAAATGTTTTGTAGCTTTTAATGTGTTAACTATCCTAATATAGTTTATGAATCAATGTCATAAATTACTACATGTATTTTAATCTGTGAAATTTTATTAGACTGTGATTTTAATAAGACTCTTTTAATAAATATTTTCAAAAATAAATAAAATTTAATAGTGGTCATGTAAGTCCATAATGACTAAGGTTATCTAATTACCTAATTTAATTATTTATAACTAACTGCTTAACCTTAAAATTATCTCTGCATATTAAAGCACACTATTGTCTTTCATTAATCTGTACTGTGGTCACAAGGTAAAACACAAAAATTTAAATATTCATGTAAAACGTATTCTTTACATCTAGTTAGACTTAATATAATACAAGATAACTTATCACCTCTAGTGCTTTAGTGGCTTATTGGAATCTTAAAGTATATTAACTTTGTTACAATCCCTGAGACTTTACATGAAGTTACAACACTGACTGCGTCAGACAGAGCCCAACTAACTGAAAATTTTCCAACTTTGCCCACATCAGGCCTTTCAGGTTTGTTCTGATCAGCAGGTCTTTCTCTAAGCAAGCAGCAGTGGTGACAACAGCCAGTCTTTTGTTATGAGTCATGCCACTTGACATAAAGTCTACCTGCTATTTACTAAACCTCTAGACTAGGCAAATATGTGACAAAATAAGACATATGGAAAAAAAAAAAAAAAAAAAAAAAAAAAGAGAGAGAGAATCATCATAAAAACTAATTGTTAGTAAAATGTAAATAAAGTGTCACTTATCTTCTTTCAAATATGTCCAACTATTATAAGTGTAAAATATGTAATGCTACTTGATAGATTTCACAAAATTTGTTTTATTCTCTAACTTATTAATAATTATATTTATTAAATTATGTTTAATAATAATGCATTGTACTCCCAGATTTATTTTATTTTTAGGATGGTGTTGTAAAAGTGAAGTTCAGGCATAGATAATATTTTTAATTGAATTTCTTCAGTTCCCATTTGCTCATAAGTCTTTAATATTTTTTCTTACTGGTCCTTAAACGTCCTTAAAAGTACTTAATTTCCGTGTGCAGAAATGTGTACAAACCCTGAATTACTTTTTAGAAATTTCACAGCTAATTCAAATTTTCTGAAATATTGTCATTAGTTTGGATTAATTTTTTAATTTATCTATTGATGCCTATATTTTCTACATAAGTAGTAAATAAAGTCAGACTTGATGTCTTTTTCTATGTGCTGTATTGCTTGTTGTAAAATTTAAGCAATCTGTTTATGTAAACTGTGGTAACATACTATATGATAAAAAATATCCAGACAGTTAAAGAGTTATGGTGAATATGCATGCCTGTATGGTCAGAATAAAATTGAGTAGGATTCCCTTCGGCTGTTGCGACACTTTAGGAATGTTTTCCATTAAATTCTGGTGTTTTACTGCATATTGTACGGTAGGGGTTCTTAACCCCAGGCCCACGAAGCTATTTTTGTGCGCGCACGACTGTCCACTATATACACTCATGGACAAAAAAATTAGCGCACCAAGAAATAATTGCGGCATCGTAACGAAACTTGTAATGAAGCTACATGTCGGGGAGATATGCAAATGATTAGAAATGAAGCGTGATTGCGCATTACGTATAGCCGGTAGAGGGCGTTGAATGTCGTACTCTGTGGAGTATAAAACAGGTAACCAAAGCTTGTTTGAGTGTGCTGAATCATGTACAAAAGAAAAGCTGTGGCAGACATGCCATTACGCTGTGTTCGAAGACAATATGAGCAGTTGTCACACTTTGAGAGGGAAACAATCGTCGGGATAATGGAAGCTAGGTGGTCAGGTAGGCAAGTAGCTTGTCAATTAGGCCGCTCTGATTGTGTTGTGAGGAGGTGTTGGGACCAGTGGACCTGAGAGATGTCATGTACACGAAGATCAGGCTCAGGACGCTCTCAACAGACCAGTCATCGAGAAGACTGCCACATCGTAAAAAATGCACGCTTACAGCCAACTGCTTCATCGGCCGCCATCCAGACACAGGTAGCACATTCACTAGGGGCCCCTGTGTCTTCTTGAACCATACGAAGGCACCTGGCTGAAGGACAGTTGGTATTGTGGCGCCCATTATGTGTGCTGCCCTTGATGCTCACCCATCGACGTCTCCGTTTGGAGTGGTATTGAGCACAAGGAAACTGGACAGCAGCGGAATGGAACCAGGTCATCTTTAGCAATGAATCCAGATTCAATCTCGGCAGTGATGACAATTGTGTTCATGTGTGGAGAGCCCGTGGCGAACGCCTCAATCCTGCCTTTGCTGTACAGCGACACATCGCTCCCACAGCTGGTGTGATGGTATGGGGTGCCATTGCTTACAATACATGGTCACCCCTAGTATTGTTCCATGGCACCATGACAGCCCAGTGGTATGTACATGAAATCCTGCAACCACATGTATTGCCACTCATGCAACAGCTCCCAGGAGCCATTTTTCAACAAGACAATGCTCTGCCTCATACGGCAAGGATGTCACACACTGTTACTACCCTTCCTTGGCCTTGGAAAAAGAGGGCCATTATCCCATGTTCTAATTATGTTTAGTTGTACACAGTGCTAAGCAAAATTTATCATTAGTTCCACAAATGTGTGGGTTATGTGCGGTCTCTTGCTAAAGCCATATTTTGTTTCCCATGACGGATTTTCATTGTGCTATCATGCATCTGGAAGTGTTGTGGCAAATATGTGTGTTTTGCGGCTAATTCCATATATTTTTTCCCCACTCCTGTATGAAGCGGTCTATTACTTGTCTTATCTATATAATAGATGACAAGTAAGATATAGAAGAGATAGGACATGACAAGTAAGATGATAAACAAGACATGTAAATCTGATAAATCGTCCTGGACTCTGTACCTAGTGTTACTCACTCAACAAATGCAAAAATCTGTTAACAAGTTGGTTTTTATAATATTAAATGAGTACTGTTCATAAATGTAAAAAACATCATAAAACTGTTTCTGGTAAAAACCCACTGATGATAAAATATCATATGATATACTGTTCCAGAATGTTTATGAATATATTATAAACTGAAATATTGAAGGAATAAAAATATTTGAATTGACTTGCTAAAATATGCTGAACATCGAAAAACCATTAATAAAAGACAGCTATTTCCTTCAAAGTTTAAACTTAGTGCTTTAAAACAAAAGAATAGTTTCAGATTTTAATGGTCATCCAAAAGAGTTTGTTTTTACCAGTCTACTGATAACACTCTCTCTTACTAACCCATTTTTTTTATTTGTCAAACTACATGGTAGACCCACCCCCTTTTTTTTTTTTTTTTTTTTTTTTTTTGAAGCATGGTTGAACAAATGTAACTCCTTAAGCTCTTTATTTTAACCTATTATTTACAGTTTAGAATATGCCCCTTCTAACAATGCTGAAATTTCAGAAATAGACCTTTTCTTCTGCTTTTTTTTTTTTTTTTTTTTAAAAAACATTACTGAGCTTGCATTAAGAATCTAGTTTGCATTTTAAATTTGAACATAATTAATTACCTTCTTTTATAAACATTTCAGTATGCACTGTTACATTGATCTGTGAATATGCTACTTCTGAGAGTTGCTTTTGATCACATTCACATAGAGTACATGCTTAATTAAATCATTCAGAGCAATAATTTGGTGTAAACTATTATAACTTACATAAATAAATATGATTCTGAATGAACATAAGTAATCAAAATTCATTGCGTAGTTACTTCCCGGTATTAAGCATTTGTTTATGTTTATGTATAATTTTTATATGTAATGCTGTTTAAGAAACCAGTGTGATAACTCTTTGAATGAGAAGATACATTTTTTAAAAATGAGAGAAAATACATGAGAATTTTCTGCCTTTCCCTCCCTCAATTTGCATAAATATGATTATAAAGTTTTAAGTCCGTGTATTTATTTCAGAATTGCAGTCTTTTTTCCAACTATAATTTTATATAAATTATATGTAGGAATGGAAAATAGATTTGATTATTTGATAGTACAATACCTATTTATTTTAATTAGGACTGGTGCTACTCATTTTGCAGTCAATGTTGGTTGCAGATTATATTAGGTTATTTTCCTGATAATATTATTCATTTTGATTGAAATAACATCCTACTTCACAATGTGAAATTTACACATTTGGAAAAACAGCATCTTAATTGCAAGTTTTGTTTTCATTGAAGTTTATATTCTCATCTTAAGTTATTGATTATACATTTATAAGATGCTCATCCTAATTTATTGGTTATGCAATTAAATTTCTGATAGAAGAACAATTATTTTTTAGAGATGGTGAAACTCGGTGTGAAATAATGGAAAAATTACTCGAAGCAGTTCTTCAAGAAGTAAGTTGTTTTTACGTGTTCTTTTTCTTGCTTGTTATAATGAAATTTTAATTGGTTTTATATTTAAACTTATGTTTTAATTACAAGTCTCCAATTTATTTGCTTATGTAATAATTTAGTGTGAATTTAATTAAATGTAATCTTATTTTTTTAATGTTACAAAAATTATAGTTAAAAAAGTTAAGTATTTATTGAATGTGTATATATTGTGCATGTAAAATGGTTTCATAAGTTTGTTCGTACGTGTCTGTACATATATATACACATATATCCATATCTATAGGATTAAATTGTATGTAAAGTAAATATGTGCAATCTTGTAAAACTTTCATTAGTATTTCTTTATCTTTGAAACATATATATGATTAATTCCTTGTTTCTTGAGAATTTGAGAAAAGTTTTATTATGTTATGCCATTTTGAAATGGCATGACCTTTAATAAGTGTCTCATTTCCATATTATAATGTGACAAATTAAAACTTGATGGTTTCCAAAATTCTTGAGAGGACGTGAAAAATTATTAGCTGCCTAGAAAAATACTTGCATGTTTGCTACATTAACAGCAGAAAGAATTATTTTGGCAGAATAATTGGCTGTCACAATTTTTCTAACCTTCTTGTTGGAAGCAGAGAGAAAATCTTTATACATTGATGGGGAGGGAAAAATTTTTTTAATGTTTACATTTTGTTCCTTTCTTCATATCTGAGTAAACATTATTACAATAACGGTACATGAGTGTATTGGTAAGATTTGTTCTTTTTGTGTATTATATAAGAAGACTGTAAATCATGAATAGTAAGCCAGAATAATATATGGTAATAATTAGGAGAAACCAATAATATATACAGGGTGATTCAGAATCATATTTGGTGATTCTGAATCAATATTTGGCGGGAAGGTAGGGAATAAGAAAAGGAGATTTCACATAGGAATGCATGGGTGCATATGCCATGTAGTAGGGGAAAATGACTCCAGTTCAATAATGATAGAAAGAACACATAAAATGGAAGTAGTAAGGAAAAAAACATTTATTATCTTACATGTAACATTTCTTTGCATCGGTTTTACAGACTTAAAGAGGTGCTCGAACTGCTGACCATGTGCTAGAATGCATGACTCACAACGACGTTGCATGGATAACCGAACCTTCTGGAATATGCCTGGCATTTACATGCATATCTGCAAGTTCATTCCACGTATACCGATTCATGTTACTTCTGCAAAGTCATTTAGTCGAATGACGACTGCTGCACACGTCAAACAGCTGTGCTTATGTATGGAAGTTGTGTACATGCAGCGTCCTCTACACCACCATGTGTTCGTCTGCACCCATACTTTCCTATGTGAAATCTCCTTCTTTTCCTCCCTACCTCCCCACCAAATATTGATGATGAATTTTGATTCACCCTGTATATATATTTCCCATTTTGAAGTATGTTCTAATTTAAATGCTGCTTTAATTTACGTAACCAACTGAACTTATTCTCCAAATTAAACTACTTAAAAATACTGGTAAATCGTTAAACAAGTAAACAGATTGCTGTGTTGTGTTATTAATAACTTTGTTTTTAGTTTCTGTATGTTTTACTCATGTTACTTAAAAATTCTACTCCATGCCCTTGGGTGAACAAAGACTAAAAAATCAATAAATCAAGGTTCCATGTCATAATGCAATGTAATGTTAAAAGTCATTTTATGAAACCTTGAGGTTTTTGAAAGTGAATATCATTATGAAATCAAACAGAGCATATGTGTAATATGTTTTTCTTAAAAGTAAGTGATATGTTAAATTTAATCAGTTTCTTTCCACTTGTGTATTCCTTTTGGGAGGGAAAAGGAGATGCTTTGATGTTTGAGACCTGGGGGGGGGGGGAATTTGCTCTTATCAGGAAAATAAAAGTTTTTAATGTTTCCAACATAATCAAGAGCTAAAATTTGAAATAGTATGATAGAAACTAAAACCTCTTTTCTTAATCTTTTTCTTTTTGGAGATTGTCAAGAATAATTATCAAAAGTCCCCCCCTCCAGAACCTAAATGATGAACTCTAAGGATAGGTAAATATATTTCATATGGTTTTTGAAGGTATACATATTATATAATATCTCAACTTAATCTACCTATTCTGTGAATTCATGGTATGGTTCTGAAGAAAAATGGCTTTTGACACTTAATTTTTTACAACCTGCATAAAGAAAACTAATCCAGTGTATGAAAAAAACTATGACAATTCTCTTTTCAAAAATATTAAAATACTCAACTATTATAAAGAGATTATATTTGAGTATCTGTCTATTTTTGATAGATGTAGATCTATGTAATTTTTAACCGCTTTCCTTACATATTTTTTTGAAAAAAATTGCAAAAAATCATCACATTTTTTTATTTTATTATTAAATACAACAAAACGAAATATGTAGGTTTTAAGTTGAAGTTTTAATTTTTTGAAGGTGTAAAAGCATTTATTTTTAATATTAGTTTACTATCCCGAGTTATCTCGGGCAAACGAAAATAGTTAAATATTAATCTTTGTATGATTGTTTTTGAAACAAGGGACAACACAGAGTGATACTGACGTTCTGGAATCACTTTCATGGGAGCACAGAGTACACTGTCTTGTTGGATTTGATTTTTTCCCCCACCTCTTCATAATCACTATCTGAAAAATCATCGCTTTCGCTATCTTGCATCATCGACATTATTTTATTTTTTTCCCGACGCATGCATCTTTCTTTATACATTACTCATCCACAAGCCAACGTATATTTTATTTTTTTTCCCAACGCATGCATCCTTCTTTATACATTACTAATCCACAAGCCAACGTATACTATACAATAGGGAAACACGCGACCAGTCCCTCCAAAAGAACCGCACAACCAACAAAATTTGGCAAACTGCCAATCAAAGCTCAATATTTCCTTTCATTTCCTCCAGACCGAGTAAAACCGTGATAAAAGAAATCGTACTAACAAATTCTGCTTCGCCTGAGTTTTCTCGGGATAATAATTAACTGCAATATATACGAACCTGAGATAACTCTGGATAATCAGGCAAGCGGTTAAAAGAATAAGATTTTTTTGATAATGTATAGATACTCAAATATAATAGAACAAGATTAGATATTTGCCATGCTGATAAATAAAATGTTAATCACTGTTTATTATTATTTATTTTTTAATTAATTAATTTTTTTACTGTCGTAAAAATGTTTAAAACTTAATTTTTGTTGTAGGAGTTTGACCAAGACGTTACATCAACATTAGGTCTATGTTTGGCTCAAATTCTTTCTGATGAGTTCTGTAGAAAGATTTTCCCAGCAGAAGTGGATGATGAGTATGCATGAATTTTAATTTGTTTTATTTTACTGTTACTATGCCTAGAACGCAGATACTGAAATTTTTGAAAGGGTTATTGTATGGATGTTATGACTGATTATGTATCTGTATATATGTAATAAAACTGTGCCATTATTGTAATAAGATGACTTAAGGAAAGTAAGTTGCAATGGATTGGCAGTGGTTCTCTGCATTATCACTTGAAGAATCTTTACAGCATTGTTAGAAAGATGACACTCGAAGAACACACATAGTGGTAAATTCCACACATAATTTTTTTCCATGATAATACACGTCATCACTGTGGGTGCACTATGTACCCTGCAGTTTTGTGTAGCTTAGATTTCTTAAACAATGAACGAAATTAGAAAAGTGAACTTTGCGTAGCTAGCGGCAATGTGATGCAGTGGATTGAAAGGCTGAAGCAGAAGAAAAAAGAGAGAAGGAGGGGAAAGTTGCGACTCAATTACCTTTTTATACCAAATTCCATTTCAGATCACATGACTGTATAATGTCCAGATTTTGGGTTGAGATTTCATTGATAAGTGTGCATCAGAACTGCAGGGAGTTAGAAAAAATTATTGCTTTGTTATTTTTAGAATGAAATAGAGTTAAAGGGCTATTATTAATTTATTATTTGAAAGATAGATTGTAAAGATTTTATCTATAAAATTTAAATTAAATTACAGATTTTATAGATAATAATTTATTATCTATCTTCAAAATAAATTAATAATAGCCCTTTAACTTCCATTTTCATTCTAAAATAACAAAGCAATAATTTTTTATTCAAAGATAGATTATTATATAAAATCTTAATTTATTATAAATATTTATAAAATCTTTACAATCTATCTTTCAAATAATAAATTAATAATAGCCCTTTAACTTCTATTTTCATTCTAAAAATAACAGAGCAATAATTTGTCTAACTTAACTCCCTGCTGTTCTGATGTGCACTATTGATGAAATCTGAACCCAATATCTGGACATTAATCTATCATGTAATCTGAAATGGAATTCGGTATGAAAAGGTAATTGCGTTGCAACTACCCCTCCTTTGCTCTTATTCTAAGGTGATGTAATATGTATATAAAAATTATCTTAATTGCTTATGATCTAGAATTATCTTCTCTATTAAGAAATGATTTGATATGTGCATAAATAAAGATTAGTGATTCACCAAAATCTAATTTTATTATCGTTATCTGTATGCTTTTCCATTCAGCCATGTCTATAGCCACAAGTTAAAAGTACTAGATTCCTCCTACGCATACTATATATATATATATATATATATATATGTGTGTGTGTGTGTGTGTGTGTGTGTGTATACACACATACATAACCAGTCCATAATATCCATACAATATATACATACTAATTGTTGCATAAAATGATTGTGTTTCATTTATGTGTCATTGATGAGTAATTGAATTACTAGATAACTTTTTTTTTAAATTTGTTTTATTTAGTTATTAGTTATTATTATTTAGTTATTATTTTTATTAAAACTTAAGTACATTATTTATTAATCGTTTAAGGAAAAATATGTAGTTTCCTGATGTTATAAAAATGGGTATTTTTTTTTTTTCAGTCCTGACATTTTTTACCTTTAATTTCGATATATTTGGATTTCAAGGTAAATTATACAAGGCAAGGAGAATTGCTCTAAATGCTGTAGTAGAACTTGTCAGTTTTGTAAAAATTAAATTAATTTCATCTCTCATTAAGAATTATGCCTTAGCCAAATTATTTCAAACTGGCAGTTGGTGAGAAGCTCTTGAAGCAATCTGTTGCAGCATGTGAAGAATTTTAATTATTTATTTTTTGTAAATATGGTGCCAAAAGCGCAAATGTATTAGACAGTAGAGCCATTAGAATTTTTTATGCAGGAGAAGAAAAAATATGCAATGCCTTTGCCGGTTGAACGTGGGCCTCTCGCATATATGCTGAGTGTGCTACTGTTACACCATGAAGGCATGCAGGAAGCAGGGAGAAAATACCTTATATACTCCCTAAAAGGTAACTGGAGATTAGGAAACCCAGTCACCAAATCTTGGTGGTGACGAATTTATCTTTCACCATCTTTTTAGTTCGGCCGCCAATTCTAGAATCATTAGGATTTTTGAAGCAAGAGACAGAAAAAATGTGCAATACCCTTGCCTGGACCTCTTGAATATGTGTCGAGTGTGCTACCATTACACTACGAAGGCATGCTGGAAGGAGGAAGAATATACCTTATAAGATTATTGAAGTAATAACTAAAGCAATAACTTTTATCCTTGAACAAGCTCTGAATCACCGAGTGTGTTGCAGTGCTTGAAGAAACTGAAAATGAGTGCAGAGAAATTTTTTAGTGTAATGAGATGAGGCAGTTATGTTAAGAAGCTGTATTAAAACATTTTTTTTTTTTGACTTGATAAATGAAATAAAAATTTTCATGACACAAAAATACTGTATATTCTGTCATATAACACACACTTTTAATACATAAAATAAGATTGAATTTACTTGTGTGTGCTATCCTTCAGATTTAAAAATTGGGAAGAAAAGAGCATATAGAAATTACTTAAATGCTGTTTATTTTTAGAAATGACATATGAACATTAAAATTTTCATTATCAGATGATATCTTTCATGGAAAGCATATTAATTATTGTGCTTTCATTCATTCAGAGGAAACATCTAATTCCTAATTCTGAAAATTCATTCAGATTGAGAATACAGTTTTACCTTAGGTTATGTCTCTCTTTTTGTCAAAATCCTATAATAATGTTCTTGTGCACATCCTCTTTGCAGAATTATTTACTTCCTCAAGCATTTACCCCCTCCCACGCATGCACATATTATTATTCTTCTTATCGCTGTAAGTTCAGTACACTATTATTCAAAAGTCTGGGGAAAATATTCGAATGAATTACTTCAAAAGATAGAATGTTGCATATGTATCTTTAAGGCTTCTTCTTATTAAAGAAAAGGGTGCACATTATATGGTGAATATACCAAAAAATTAAAAAATGTAGTTGAAATTATAGTTGCTTGTAATACACCAAACTGTAATTAAATAAAACCATGAACAAGCTATATGATGGTATTAGCATTTCTTCTTCACTTAATCAGATGTTTAAATAATCTCAATAAAGAGCTGCAAAGAAAAGAATAAATTTATAATTGACATGTCAGCTTGTATTAAACCTATTAGAGTGAAATTGCAGTTGGGGGAGGAAGAAGTGTGAATCAGAATATTCCACACATTTTCTACATCTTAAATCCTGCCCTGTTTCAAATAAAGTCTAAAAAATATGTGAGGAAAAAAGGCAGATGATTTGTAATGCATTTGTACATTATTTTTATTACCATGAAAACCAACATGAATAATGCACCTGAAAACAGGGCTATTCAAAAATCTGAAAGTATCAGATCTGATTAACTTTTCTTCATACTTGTCAGAAAATAAATGCCCCAGTTACAAATTTTTGCAGTAAGAATAATCGCTTTGTTTAGTAATTCATTTCTATGTGAATAGTGTTTTTTGTATCAAGAGTATAAAAACTATAATAATTGTACTTTTACTGTCACTTTTTATATGTATAATAAATTTGCTCTAAAATGCTATTCAGTTTTAATTAAAAATGTACCTTTTTTTCTTTCAGATCTATTGAAGATTCTATAGGCACGCCTTTATTTGTGATGTTTAGGTGAGTGCATTTTGTGGCTTCCTGCCCTCCCAGAGTATTTACAAATTTTTAGTGTTTATTGTAGTGTTTCAGAAGTATCTTATTAGTATTTCATTAATTAATGCATGTTTAATTTTTTTTAGTATTTTATGCGAATTCTTGGTTTTTTTTTCACAGTGTATTTTTAAACAATGATAATTAGAAAATCCTTTTTCATAATTCTTTTAAAATCATTGATAAAACAAGTAAAAGAATGCAAAATATATATTTCATTATTTACATATACTTTCATATCTGTGGCACTATAGTAAAGCCATGAATTTTCAAATGGTTGTTTTGAGAAAAATATATAACAGAGTTGAACACATATTTATTTTAGAAAAAAGTTCTGTATAATATTTCTGTTATATGAATTTCAGACAATGTTCATCTCACTTTTTGGCATAGATGGGGGTGAAAAAGTAAATAAAAATGGCTAGAAATGTGAATTCTTGGTTTTGCTTTGTTTTCACAGTGTATTTTTAAACAATGATAATTCTTGAAGTATTTAAAGAACCTGCATATATTTTATATATCAGTTTATGAATTTTACTTTCTTTTAAACTGGTATTTAAAACTTCCAAATCTGGGATATAAAACAGGGTTGCCACACTACCTGGAAAACCGGGTAAAGTCAGGAAATTCAAAAATTGACCAAAAAAGTCAGGGAATTTAAATATTTTTATTCAGAGTGTAGAAAAGTCGAGGAATTTCATACTGCAATCCCCAAAAAAGTGATTTTTCATGCCACCATCGGAAGCGATCACTTTCTTGGCAAATCATGTATCGATGTATCGTATGAGCGTCATTCGGACATCCAGTAACCTCGAGTATGCTGAGATTCACATATGTATGCGCAGTGCATATCAAGCAAAAATAAATTCCCCTCCTTTCTCGAATAAAACAAAATCTTTTGCACCTTACAAATATGGTATGTTTTAAACTTAAATAACTGAAAGCTTTGAGATTATCTGACAAATAAATTTATTAAAACTAGCATCATTCATCTGATGGTCAAAAATTCTTAGTGGAATATAAAATAACAGCAAAAATTTCACCTTCTTTAGGAACTTAATGCCACGTACATTAACTTAAATTTGAATCTAGGTGGTTGTTGCAACATTCTACAGTGTCTTTTGTTGTGCTATGTTGACAAACACCTCAGTCAGCATTTTGATTATGTGCATCAATATGAGCAGTCCCAATACTTGGAAGTGCAGTCAAAATTCGTTAATCCAGACTCGTCAGGACTTCGGTGATTCCAGATTATCGATTTTTCCGGATTATAGATCATTATTTTAAATCTGGTAAGATGGCATGTAGAAATTATAAAATTAAAAATATGAAACCGTAATTTATGAAATAAAGAACGATTATGATCTAAAGGGTATCAAAATTTACAAAAAAAAAAAAAAAAAAAAAAAAAAAAAAAAAAAAAAAAACAAGCTTAATATTATTGTTTACTTATTAAACATTTCTTTCGATGTAAGTTGTTTAAGTTGCTTTGTTTTATGTGATAATACTTCTCTTTAATTCTATAAACAGACATAATTCTTGTTCAGTACAAAGTTCCGCTTTCAAGTCCCGTTTTGCTGTGCCGAGAATACTGACTAACTTGTCAATCGAAATTTTTTCGTTTTCAATAACCGCTGTATCACTTTCTTTACTCTCGGAAGTGAATTATAATGACGAGGAATTTGATTTAAATCATATCAAAGACGGAGTACATCGAGATGAAATACTACATTTAGTAAGGAATTATAAGCCGAATAAAATAAAAACATCTGCCCTGAAGATAAGGATAGTGCTGACAGATCAACTTCCAATTCATTAATTCATTGCGCGCCGCGGCGTTCCCCCCCCAAAGGATATGCCTTTATCCATTTTTTGCAGCAATTCCACTTTTTGTTTAATGGATTTCAAAACATACTTTTGCTTTGTAGATCCTTTACATATTAGTAAATATATATCGGAAATTCTATTTGACATAATCAAAAGTTCAAGCTTACTTTTACAAAATTGCTCTAACAGTCTGCAAAAAATAATAAGCCGGATCCAATTAGAAGATTAAGGGAACAGCGCAATCTGCAACATTAACTTAAATGCCTTAAAATCAGTAAATATAATTTTAGCCTTAGCTTATACTGTCCTGTTATACATTAAACGCACATGCGTAAATGTATTATGCGCACACGCATATTCGCAGCCGTAAGGTCTTACGCGCATGCGTCAATACAACGCATGCGCAGAAAGTTTGTAGCTTTGAGGTCCGGATTAAAGATCATTCCAGATTGTGTGTGTCCAAATTAACGACTTTTGACTGTACTTTACTGCTTGCTGTTCTGTAGAAAGTAGATCCCTAATTTTAATCTTCTCTTCAAAATGCAAGGAAAAAACAATATCAATTAACTTGTAACTTCCTTATAAAACCTAACCTTCTTTATTGTAGATTAGGGTTGCATGAAATCAAGGTGAAGTTTTTATATATGTGCTGTGACATCTTGCTTATCAATTATTAGCAGTTGTTTTCAGGAATGTTGAAAAGAGACAACAGCATGATAATTAAGTACCAAAGTGGATTGCAGTCATTAATGTGTATTTATGTATTTCAATTTCTTTTTTATTTACTGTTTAATCCTATTGTAGGAATTTATGCCAAACACCTGAAGATGATCCAAATAGGCAACCACTATTAAACATTCTAGCTGAAATGTCCTTGCAGCAGAATCGGTTAGGGTACCTTCTTCTGTACTTTTTAAAGGCCAGCAAAGTTCAAGAAAACAGAATGTCTTCTTATAAAGACTATGTAAATACACAAGGTTCTTGGGCCCCTGTTACACGAAACAGTGAAACAAAGGATCTAGCAACCTGTTTACTTAGTGATTTGAAAGTAAGTTATGCATTTAAGTAATTTTCATAAGATTAAAATTAATGATTTTTAGATTTGTTATTTTTTCCACCATATTTATTTTTTTTTAAATATTTATTAGCCAAAAAGAGCTCAGAAGGGCTATTAATTTTGTTTTGGCGTTGTTTCACCATAAAAGTTTGAATCACATTTCAAATTATAGCCACCAAATATTAGAGCTCTGCGTTATATTTAAATAATAAAGAATCTGCATGAATGTATGTATATTTTTCACGTTGTGAAAAAACAATGGTACCTAGAGACATGGAATTTGAATAACGTAGTCCTCCACTTGAATATGGACGTTTGGAAGCCCAAATTTGGAGTTTGTTTTATCATTTTCCTATTTTGCAAAACTTTAACAAATTTTTGATTAAAAAACTTGATGATTTCCAAGCGTTAACATTGTGTGCAACTTCAAGCACAGATGTTTTATGCACAAGGGTTTTTGTTTTTCGTGATATTGGTGTTGAATTGAATTTTATGGTTTAAGTGCAAAGAACACGATTACTAATAAATAAAGGTAACAAACAAAACATTTTAAAAAAGCTCTTTTGTGTGTAATGTAAAATCTGAAAGCTTTGAGATTTATTTTTTTATTTATTATTTGTTAGTTTTTTTCTTCATAAAATATAGCAAAATATTTACTGCATAGATTTTCCCACTATGTTTTTTTTAAAAAAGTTACTTTGAAACTTCTCATAAGCCAAACTAGAATAAAGCAGGGAAGCATATGTGCACTGTTTTTGATAAGAGCTACTCAAAGCTTTTCAAATGCCTCTATATATTGCAGAATACATGTAAAAGAGCATAAATATATAGCTCATATAAACATGAATAAAAGCCATAGAGAGTCAGTATCAATAAACACAGTGGAATTCTTATTGGTATATGTGTGATGATGCATTAAGGGAAGCTACTAATAGATTGAGTAATGGAAAATGCAAGGGACTAGAGCAAGAAGAGATTGGTGAAAGATCGTCTATTTACATCTTATCATTATTTGAATCCATTAGGTATTCCGTAACATTTCTTTCTATCTGTATCTATGCTGAAAGTAGTGGTTATTATCTTTAGCTGAGTTGAGTGACTTGAAATAAGATAATGCTTACTGCATAGACTCACTATTTTTTTTCATTTGCAGTTTTTTTTTTTTTTTTTTTTTTTTCTTCCCTGAGGGGGCTAACAAAATGCACATACACAAAAAAAGTACTGCTTGCTAATGCTTAAAATAATGTCTGCAGTTTTTGCATGAAACAAAGCTGAATACCATTTTCACTTTCACCCTTTCTGTGTAAAAGCAGAAATATTTTTCATATTTCTTTTTGTTGGTGGAAATTGTAGTTTCAAATTTTTCATAAAGTGCAGAATGCCTGTACTTTTAGGAATAGGTAACAATACCGCTATTTAGTATTGTTGGATATGTTATAAATTTACATATTATAGCTTTATAATTATTTTATCTACACTTAGGCAAGGGTTGGTCCTTTAAAAATAGGCTTTCATGAATTGCATTACCCATACACTGTTCTGTTTCTTTTGTATATATGTTATTAGTAGTATTTAATAATTGATATTATATTGTGGAAGTTTTGCTTCCATATTGTACTCTTCATTTATCATACTTATAATTTATTTATTTTGAAAATTCTGTTTTTTTCTTTGCATTAATAATAGTTAAATGTATTGTAATGCATTTCATTAATGTGAGACATTTTGTTTTTTGTCTGCATTTCTTTCTTGTATGATTAATTTAATGGCATGAGTCATTTTCATATCAACTTATTTGCACAGCTGAAAACTGAAAACTTTGAAATCTCATGTTGGACATTTTCATTACATTTCATTTGTTAAGTTTTAATTTTGTTTTTGAAATTAAGGTATTTTAGAAATGTTTATAATTTCATGATCTGAAAAATTATTTTACCTTTTATGTTGTAAGCAGAAATGAAACTGATGAATTATAAATAATCATTATCAATTGCCTTAACAAAAGAGAAGTTTTATGTTAATTACTTCAACGAGATATGGATTTACAGATGTTATGGAAGAAACTGAAATATGTTCTTGCAGATTTACCATGTGTTATAATTATACATTATAAATAATACTAATAATTGGCTTTTTTTCTTACCATATACTATTGGTTCATCATCAGTTGATATATCTGTTTGTGAGAATCTAGTTCCCCCCATACAGTTAAAAAAAATTCACATTATAAACCATTAATTGTTGAGTGAATACCTAGTTATGGGACTGACAATAGATTAAATAATTAAATTGGTAGGAATAGCAAATAATGTTAAATTCCATTCGAACAAATGTCTTAGGATCTTTCTAATTAGGTTATTTATTCATGATGAAATTCACTTCTTCTTCACTAATATTAAATATCTTCTTCAAACCTGTAAAAAAATTCAAGATGTTGGCCATTATGGCAGATGTATTTTAAAATCAGTAGACTCATTTTGTCACTAGATTCATCAGGAACATAATCATAGGCCACAATTTAGCCAACAGCAAGGTAAAGTAATATTATTTATATCTTTCTAAGCAAGAGAAAAAGGAATTATGGCATTTTTCTTTTTTGGTGAATTGTTTCTGAAAAATCTACCTTCAAGTCTATCTAAGGAGGAGAGGCCTTATAGAAAATTTTTTGAAGAAAACTGACCAATATTTGCATTAGACAGTAAAATCTCTCTTAACTGGCAGCAACAGGACCTCCTGATTTTGGATAACTGAATCTATATATATCTAGAACTTACCTATTCATGTTATAACACCATCTGTAGAAATTGCAGTATGTGCAGTATGTTAGACATGTTTTTTATCTATTGCCCATAATTAAACCAGTAATATCACAAATCGTACACATGATTTAAAATTAAAAGATAAATGATTTTATGCCTCAGAGAAACAAAATTAAACAATATTTTCAGTTTATTAACTATACCATATATATGTTGTTATTTCTTACATGAAAGTTACAAATTTTGTAGTATGATGGCATATACCTTCAGATGTCAGCCTGCTTACAAGATTGACACTATTGTCTTGAAAATCTGCTGTGTATACAATGAACTATCATAATATCATGCACTGACGTAGGTGAACATTTTTTGGCTAATCTTATGAATGACTGCAATCCTTCATCAGCTTCCTTCCACATAATTTTCTTGCTCTGAGTATCCTCATTTTCATCATCCTTCTTCTTGCCATCTTTCTACTTTTCTGTTACATGTCTGAGTATTTTGTCTTCTTCTTGAAAGAGTTTGATTTGAATAAAATTGTTTGTATCCTCCCAAGCCTTCACTTCTTCTTCACTAATATTAAATATCTTCTTCAAACCTGTAAAAAAATTCAAGATGTTGGCCATTATGGCAGATGTATTTTAAAATCAGTAGACTCATTTTGTCACTTGATTCATCAGGAACACAATCACAGACCACAATTTAGCCAACAGCAAGGTAAAGTAATATGATTTATATCTTTCTAAGCAAGAGAAAAAGGAATTATGGCATTTTCTTTTTTGGTGAATTGTTTCTGAAAAATCTTGGAGCTACCTTCAAAGTGCATGAAAAAGGATCAGTAGTTCTTTAAATTCAGGATAATTTATTCATTCATTGGTTGTGCAAGGTTTGATACATTGGATGGTGGAAACTTAACCCAAATGTTTTCTACATGTAAGTCTTCAGATTCTTAACGTATTAGATGTATTTTTTTAATTTCATAATCATTATGGATTTAAATGTTGATCTTCAGAAATTCCATTATTTTGGTATTCTCTGCTATAAAAGGTTTTACTGTACACGAGAGAAATCACAAAAGTTTCATGCAGTCAGCTGCTGGGAATAGAAACCTAGGAATATTGCTAATGTTTGGTTAAGCATAGAGTTTAATGTTTTAGTAGTATTTTGTAGTTATACCCATGAGGTATATTTTTTCAGTACTGTTCTGATATATTGGGTTTGTGTATTTGGATGTATGTGTTATGTGTGCATGAATGAATGTGTGTGTACACATATATGCATGCACATACATACATTTCTGAATCTGGTCTTGATAACAGAACAGTACTATTTTTTCTTGGTATTTTAATTTTTCTCATGATAATTCTTTCTCAGCAGTGATGTTTGTTTTAATTTTTTTAATTGAAATAATTTTTTAAACAGGGTTCTATATCAGTTTTCATATTTTACTTTTACATTTTATTCTTGTAAATTATAATGCTTCATCCATTCCCATTTCATCATCACATTGTAGTGTGTAATTTTGTTCTTTATCACTTATCCCTAATTGAAGTTGCAGTTCTTCTCTTGCTAAGTTTAACTTTGTCATTTCTATGATTAAATGATCTCATTTAATGGTACTTTTTTGTTATAGTGGCCTTGATGAGAGATGATTATTGGAATGTTTTCTGCTCGATGAAAGCAAACAATTGCTGATCTCCACATATATTGCTTATGTTTCACATGTGTACCCAGTTTATTTTTCTTCAATAATTGAAAAGTTTCTTAGAATTCCATTGTTAAATATATAATATTGTCACATGCATATGGGTTTGCAAGGGATTGAATGCCCACAGAAACGTTGATAACTTGATTAAATTTATTTTCCTAAAAGAAATACTTTTCTGGAACATTTCACGAAAGTCTTCATACAGCTCTTCTTAGTATGACAGAGCACAAACAGTAGTTATCGAACTATTAAGAATGTTTAATACAAGACAATATACAAAGCCTCGATGCATAAGCTTGCAGAGTGATCTCTCAGTACTCTGAACTGAAATCTGAACTGATGTTCTCTTCCGGTATTATATAGTTTATCCCCGGTCGTCGAGAAATTTCCAGTACCTTAGGTTTCTCAAAACTGCTGGAAGGTTAACACACAGTTGTATAGAAATAGGGACTTTTGCCAAATCTACAACAAAATTAGTCAACAAAATAATTTTTTGACGAGATAGCGGTATGTACCTCGATATTAAACGACCTACCCCTATAACCTTATTTTTCTGGTGAACGGACGAGATAGCTTCATTTGCCTCAATGTTAAATTGACCTGCCCCTATAAAATTGTTTCTCTGGTGAAGTAGCGAGATAGCGGCATTTGTCTCAATATTAAATGGACCTGTCCTTGTAACCTTGTTTTTCCAGCAAAGCTTCACATTCTTGAGTCCTTATATGTTATGTTATACACTAGACACTAGAATTTATGTATAATTTCACTAAAATTATTTACATTAAAGAATTTTATGTTCTTTGGGAGTATAAATTATACGAAAACTCTTAAAAATTAAGGTGACTTATCACTGTGTCTTCGAAATTGCAACATAAATGTATGATGGTTATAAAAGACCTTTTTATTTAACTTGGAAAAAGTTAAAGAGAAGGCACTTGCTCAGGCTTTTGTAACAGCCAGCATCTATGCCTTAAATAAAAAGTAATGAATTTGACTTGAATAAGTAAAATGTAAGTTAGCCCAATGGCTGTACAACAGATAAACATTCAAGTTGTCTCAGACCTAATCTCGGCATTACAAGCCTAATTGCAAGAATAACACAATGCTGCAAATATACTGCTGTCAAGAGAATTAATTAGCAAGCAGAACATAATCTGATTTTACCTTTTGAAACAGTCTAAATACTATCTCCTTTCTACCTTATCTGAGTACATGTGAACTAGCAGTTTGCATTCTGAGAAGAAAATGGAAAGTGGAAAAGACAGCAAAGAAAATTAACATAAAATAACTGGTTACTAAAGCTAAACTTATATACAAAATTCATATTGCTTATTATTTTTCAAGTCTTCAAGTTTATGTTCAGGCATATCACATCTACCACGATAATGTGTTTGTTGTTAACATGTGTATCAGTAACTGTCTGTTTCTTGCCAAAACTGTTAAGCATCCCAATTTCTATTTCTCACCAAGTCACTATGATGTGGAAGCACCTCTTTTATTGTGCACAAAGTAATTGATTCATATATTTAAAAAAAAAAAAAAAAAAAAAAAGTGGTTCAGTTTTTCCGGCAATAAAGAAGCTTATAATGTTAATGTCCTACAAAAAAGTCTCGAGTAGTTTTACTTGGAATTTTTGTATGATTTTGTTTATCCAGTTTGGCAGTTTATAGTTTTTTAAGATGTAATAACTAATTTCAATTTTTCTTATTTAGATGTGTCAAGAAGATGATGTTCGTATGTTTTGTTATATCATTCCGGATGTTTACACTCAGGCAAGTTTCAGATTTTATTCATTCTTTATTATCTTATTTTTGATGCAGGAGAGTACTTTTTAAGAATAAAAGTATATCTTTGTGTTGGAGTAATAATATGTAACAGATGCAAGTGATGTTTTCCCTTTCTTGGGCTTGCTTAATAATGAAGGCACTAATAAACATCAACCACATGACAGCTTGGAATCATTTGAAAAGAGCAGGCTACAAAAAGAAGCTTGATGTTTGGGTGCCACATGAATTAATGCAAGGAAATTTGATTGACCGAATTACCATCAGTGAAATGCTGCTGAAACGCAATGAAATCGAAGCATTTTTTAAGCAAATCATTATAGGCGATGAAAAATGGGTGAAATACGAGCACATCAAATGCAAGCTATCATTATCGAATGCTGGTGACCCTCCACAAATGACTTCAAAGCCAGGATTGTAACCAAATAAGGTTATGTTGAGTGTTTTTTGAAATTGGAAAGGAATTGTCCATTATGAGCTGCTGAAATCTGATGAAACCAACAATTTGGCCCTGTACTGTGCTCAACTTGACTGTTAGCCCAGAAAGAGTGACCAGAATTAGCCAACAGAAAGGGAGTTGTGTTCCATCATGACAATGCACAGCCGAGATCTTTGATGGCTCGGAACAAATTGATGGAACTTGTTTGGGAAGTTTTCATGCATCCACCATATAGCCTGGATCTTGCACCATCTGACTACCATTCACTGAGTTGCCAACTCTCCCGATTTTCGACCGCTCTCCCGCTAACCCGATTTACAATCTATTTCTCGCGAATTTTTCTTATTCTTATAATTTCACACGATTTTTATGGAACTTGGCTTAATACTTCGTTATATGAACAAAAAAACAAAATTCATTTTGGTCGTCTGAAAGCAATTGAATTTTCTCTAGATTATATCTAAAACAAAGAATATTTTGTGAAGAATGAATATTTATGTGTTTTTCTTCAGACCTTAAAAAAGCTTCTTGCTTTTTTTTTTTAAATTCATTTTGCCATCATTCGGTGTTCTACAAAGCAGAATTCAATAAATTCATGTTTTGAAATCAATGATTTATGATCTGCTTAATGACGTTTTATCAAAGTTTGTAAAACCAGTCTGTGTTTTGTCTTGTAATTCAGTATATGATGTGATTTATGGTGAAATATATAATCAAAAGAAAGATGAAGATTTGGTATTAGGAGCTGCAACTACAGAAGTAGTGGAAGAACTCTCAGAAGACAAATTTATCTTCATGTTAGAAGTAACTTCTATCGTCTATACGATTACATACTACATAAATTTCCAGTCAACGATGAAGTGATTTTGCATGCTAAAGTTCCTGATGTTTTTGCTCTAGCAAATGCATCTTTTTCTAATATAAGGTACTTTTTGAACAGATTTCCTGTGTTACATGATTTAGTCATGAAAAGATGATATATTGAGTTGCCACTGACAATATTGCATTCGCAATTTGCAGTTTACAATTAGAAAACTTGGATTAAGTTATAAAATCAGCTAGGATGACACCTAGTGGAGTTTAATGGAAAACTGAAAGGTTGCTGATGGAATTTTAAATACAGTGAACTGTCTAGAATTATGTTGGCCATCTTGACAGTTCCCCATAGTAATGCAGAGTGTGAGAGGATTTTCGGTGTTTTTGCGAAAACGAGGACTAAACTTAGATCTAATATTAGTGATGACACATTAGAAAAACTTTTATTAACGAAAGCAGGCCTATGTGGCAATTGCTATGAACAAAATTATGAAGTTTCTTTCTTAACGAAAGCAAAATCTCTCACTGTTCATAACATTTGTACAAAAACTGATGAAAGTGCCTTTTTTTTTTTGGTTTGTTTTCTTAAATGATGCAAGTAATAACAATTTTTTTTTATGTGTAAGGTATTTTTGTGTTGCTTGCATTTACGAATTAGTAACTATTTAATTAATTATTAAAAACTATATTTTTATCATTTAAAAAGTCTTTTTAACATTGTGAAAAGTCTCCTGATTTCTTAAAAAAATCTCCTTGTTTTTGAGTGTCATACAAGTATGCATTTATTTTGGTCTTTGCAAAACTCTCTTGATAGTAAAAAATTGGTCGACCGAAGCGCTTCTGAAAATCACTTGGCCAGGTTTTTTCCACGATAAACCACAGAAGTTCTACACTGATGGAATTATGAAGCTACCCAAAAAATGGCTAACCATTATTATCTATGGTCAATATATACTTAATTGGTCATAGATTGGTCAATATATACTTGATTAAAATTGATTTTCAATGGAGAAAATTTTTGTTCAAAAAACCATGGTATGTTTGTAGATACAATCTTGCACATGAATTGTAAATTTTATTAATTTTGTTATTTCAGTTATATGTTTAAGATTGTTATTATATGTTTAAGATCCTGGCAAGAATGCTCATTTTATATACAGATACTCCCCCACCTTACGAATAAGTTATGTACCATGTTACTAAGTTACCTATTCCTATCATGTTTCTAGGTTTGTTATGCATATCTCCTGACAATGTTCTTGAGATTAAAACTGTATAAATAAAAACAAATAAGCAGTTAAAACTACTGAAGCAAATAATACATTTAAAATTTTGAATACAGTGCGTACCTTAGATTGTCATCTTTGAAGTATGTGAGCATGAGAATCTTAGATCTTTACGTTGGTTGAGTGAATGTCTGATTTCTCCCTCCGAAGATTTATCAGCAGGTAAAGAAGTTATTCATGATGAGGATGCTATATGAGATGTAGAAGGCATTGACATGTTAGATGGGCTAGCAATACAAATTTCTAAACTGTCTGTCTTAAGAAAACAATTGTCTAAAATTATCTGAACAAGTTTTCTTTTTGTTTTCATCATAAATAAAATGATAACCTATATGGCATCATGCACAGTAGGCTTTGGTGAATTTTCAGAATTTGTGTCTCGATTTTCAGAAAAGGACTCTGAAAATTTCTCTTTTTGATGAGAGGTTTGGTCATAGCTGAAAAGCTCATATAGGAGGAATCTAAATAGTTTGTGTAAATGTAATTATGTATAAAATGTTTGTGTTTTAAAAGTTTTAATATTTATAATTATAATATTATATTAATATAATTTTATTTTATGATATTTATTATTATTTAAGTTCTCTTTATAGATTTAAATTTACATGATTTTTTTAATGGAAAATAAATTCTTAATTTGTATTTTTACAGAGGTATGAGGATTTTTTTTAAAAATTAAAACAAACTGTAATTTTTTGTTTGTTTTGCTGAATAACAATATAATATTAAGTGTATTTAGTGCCTCAAATACACAAAACATGTATGCTAATGGTACTAGAAAAATATAGAAGTTGCTAGTATATTTCATACTTTTTTAATGATTTTTTTTTAATCCAATGTGTCAGTAGTTTAGAGATTATACATATTATGTCTCTGTGGGTCTGAAATAACTTAGAAATATGATTCTTAGAATTGAGATATGATAGAAGAAATATGATTAGATCTTAGAATTATGATCTTAGAATTGAGATATGAGAAATATGATTCTTAGAATTGTGAAATAACTTCGAATTGAGAAATTCTGAAGTATTTCATCAATAGGATCATCAGCACTATACTAGATTTTAAATTAAATATGTTCTGAAAATTTAGTGCTAAGTTTTATTATTAAATGCTAATGTCTGTTAAATGCAGTAATGAATTTAAAACAAGAAGCCATTTTATTTAATAAAGTAATTTGAAGGTCTTTTTTTAATAAATAAATTCAGATTAAAATCCATAAAAGTAATTTGATAAAGTAGCCAATTAATATTAATTTAATTAGAGTAGTTTAAAACATACAAAAGATTTAATAAATGAAATTTAATAAAAAAAATAATTGTTAGATTTTGGCATTAATAAAAAGAATGTTCAGAGTGTAGAAATATTTAACCTGTATCTAAAGCTGAATGATCTAGTTACATAACAATTTTTATTGTTATGCGTAAGTGAGTTGTAATATACTAGTTAAAATAGAGTTCGTAGGACGCTAGAATACTAAAGAACTAAGTAGCGTCTATTCGTTGAATAAGTAACAACTCCCATTTGTTGGAGGAGAAAGGTTAAAATAACCTTTTGTTCTGACTCAGAGTAGATGTACAGATGGCCCCTCTTGGGCATGCAAGAATCCTTCACTTTAACTCAAAATAGAAAATATAAGACTAACTCATACTAAATAAATTTAATCAGCCGAAGCTGCGCAGAATCAAATTAGTGGCCCTTAATTAAGGGTAATTGGCATAGGCTAGTAGGCACATATTAAAGCATGCCTGTAGAATAGCAAGCTTTAACTAATAGCAACAAAGTGGCCAAAAGGCGAACACCCTGTCCCACAGAAGTAACTTAGATCTCAGCTTAAATACTAGTTTCTTCATTTCTACCTTATTTGCACAAAGCATTGTACTGAAAACTCATTTTGGCAAGGAAATGTCGGTAGGAAATTGGAACGTAAAAGGAAAGGCTTGTTCCAAAATAAAAGTAACTTAGAAAAATAAATTAAAATTCTACAGAGTATCAACATTTTCTGTAAGATAGTGTGTTGCAGAAAAACATCCTTTCACTTAAATAGCTCTCAAGAACTTTGCCATTGTTAATTTGCAGTTCATAATACAGTTAATGCATGCTGTCACTTCTGATATTATGCATATCAGTATGTATGAACTTTGTTCAGTAATATTTTACATAATTTTCCCAAAATGTTTATGTTGAATTTGATTAAGTGGGAAGCTTAATAACAGAAATTTATGTAAGTATGATTATTTATTGAATTTTATTCAAGAAAAAGGTTTCAGAATTCATTCTGTTGGGGAGGGAAGAGGGAAAGAAAGAAGGATTAATGAGACTAATTTGTAATGAAAAAGAAGAACATAATCTTATTCGTAGAATATGTATTGCATCTTTAGCATCAAATTATAGCTGCTGATAAACAAATGAATGCAAAATCATAATTCAGCTCAAAAAAAGCTGACTTAAAATGCAACCAAGTTATCCAGTATATGGTTTCTATAAGTGTTTGCTCTGGCAATTACAGTATTTCTGATAGACCTTGAAATGCTGGACAGGAATTAAATAAATAGATGTCAGAACAGCTTCTCCCACTATAAATTTATATTTTATTTGTATTAGGCTTTACAGTGCAGTTCATTGTTAATTATACTGTGCAGCCTTATCATCCCCATGATTATTTTTTTAATATCTAGTAGTGTTTTGCATTTTTGCATGACAAAATTGTTGACAATGTTAGAAATTGGAATGCAAAATTAATTTATTTAGTAAAAAATAATTATAAATACAATGACACAATAAAATTCTGTGGTAATGTGTGATTTGTAAAACTTGATTTACAGACAATGAATATTAGATGAAAATATAGTTAATTCAGTTAACATTCCAGCAGATATCTAAAATATATATAGTTGTTATTTTATGTTTATGCTGAAACTTTTTTGTGTGAAACGTATTTTTTAAAATGAAATCACGAATTGATTAATAGTATTTGATTGTATAAGTTTTGTTAAATTCTATTTTATTTTGATATTTTAATTTTTCCGTTTTAGTTTCCCAATATTGCGATTGGAAATGCAGAGCTTTTAAACCTTATTGTATCATGTATTGATCCAACACAGGTAAAAATTTAATAAATAGTCCTTCTTTTTTAATGTTGCAGTGTAACTGTTTTTACTGCTTCTTTTAAACAATATTTTTGTGCCATGATAAAAATTATAACACATTATGTCCATAATGTGTTTATAATATTATGTATTGTAAGATTCTGGAAAGCATCTGAGTTCATTTTGTTCTTGCTGTGTTGACTTCTTGGCTTTAATTATGAAAATTTTGATCATGACAGCTGCAGCATATTGCTTATATTTTAACTAATTGCGAGTATAAGTAACATAAAGGTAAACAAAAAATATAATAATAGTTGTCTTGTATAAATTCAGTTTCATGTAAAATAAAATATTGACTGAGTATTCATAAAAGGAAATAAAAATTAAATAAAAAAAAATATGTTAAATTAGCTGGTAGACAAATGAAAATAAATGTTCATTAAACTTTTTTTTTTTTTAATTTATGTTTCAAATTTTATATATATGTTCCATCACAGTTTATATATAACTGTGATGGAATTTCTGCATATTTTATGATGTTCAACTCCTTAAGATAGTCTCTGAAAGTGGACAAGTATTTCTGAAAAAATTAATTAAGAACATTTATCTAGCTATTCAAAAATTCCAGTTTGCCATTCTAACTCATTAGAAAATAGTTTAACATTAAAAGAGGCACACATAAAATCATTCATATACTTTGGTTATCTTGCATGAAAGTGTTGCATCTTGTGTTGTTAACTCATAAAACTATAGCTTTAGAGTTATTGAAAAAAGTTTAAAACTGCAAAAAGCATTTTAATTTTGAAGGCTGTAGCATTGATTTGGCATTTCTTTTGTGAGCCTAAAATTGATTTATGCCAAAGTGTTTGAAAAAAACATGTATTATCGTTTGAATAAAAATAAAAGTAGTAAGTAGTAGCATAAAGGGAAAGTCTTGAAGTATATATGTTTAGGCAAAATTTTGTCAGGTACTGTAGGAAGGCAAATACGAAATCTGGAAAGTTTCCATTTCAGAGTTGTGATCTACGAATTAACATATTTCTGCAGCGTAACTGTTAGAGTTCATAAAGCGTGAGTGCCATAATCCATGAGATAGGAGGAATGCTGTAGTAATTAGCAATTGTTAAAAATTGATCATACATCTCTGTGTATGTAACTGAGGTGAAGGCACAAATCCAATTTTTTTATTAAACTATGAAAGAACATCCTTCCTCTATGCATTTCATAAGGGACATGATGTATAATTACATGTGTAAAGTTATCCCAGTTGATAGATTTTGAAATACATAATGGAAGATTATCCAGTTGTGTCATTAATTATCATAGCAGGTCTTTAATTTGCCATAAAATAAATTTAATTGCAAGTGGTATTTAATTTCAAAAACGAAAATTCAATATATTTTTCTTTAACTGAATTTTCTACTTTTCATTTCATAACTCTCCCCCCCCCCATTTAATTTTCTGTGTGTCAGATACATACTCAGTTATTAGATCTTTCATAATATTGCTAATATAATTTGACCAGATTTAAATGTTTTTAAGCGGAAATATTTCTTTATAATATTTAGCTACTCCTTTTTCCTCTGTACTTATGAATCATGTTTTCAGCCTGTTGTAAGTATTTTTCTGCAGTGCTGTGATTTATTAGCTGTAGTAAGTAATATTACAAGTAGAATGCTGGCTAAAAATATATTTTTCTTCACAGCTTCAAGACCTCATATGCCTTATTTTACAGAGAAATATTGTCATGTTCAGAAAAGATTCCTTTCTATCTGTGTTAAGTAAGTAAATAAATCTTGTCCATAAATTTCATTGCATTAAACTTCGTAAGGAACTATATTACTGTATTTTCGTATTACTGTAAAAAAGCAGTAATGTTTCTTATCGGTATGGTTTGATCATACATGAGTTTAGTTAAAAGTAATGCAAGAATAAAAGTACTCTATTGAATTAATTATTTTACTTAGTTCATTATCCATTATTTAATATTGCTATTTTTATCAGATTTATTTAATGATGAAGTAATATAATAAAAGTATATATATATATTTATATAAAGTTATACTTAATCCTTTTTAGCATCTGTTCAAGTCTTATTTTTTAAAGCATGAAATTAATTATTGATTGTTAATAAAGCAAAGTATATCACTTAATCTATATTAAGAAGATTTTACACAATTCATTGTAATTTGATTTTTATATTGTGTTGCAACATTGCTAATGTAGAAGTCTACATTTCTAGATTAAATATCCTTCATAATTTCTTTTACATAAACACTGATTTTAGCCAAAATAACAGATGTTATACTGTTGCAGTATCATTTAATAATTTAGTAGTGGTTAAGATTAGTACATCATTAAAAGAAAGAACATCTTTTTAACATAAAAAAAGAAAGTATATTTGTTAAAAGTTATTATTACTTGATTCTCTTTACCCGAATATCTGCTAATACTTAAAATAATAAAAAACCTCAACAAATGTGCGAGTAAATACATTTCTTCCAACTCTTATTTAGGATCCTAAATATATTATATAAAATTAAGTGACATATGTAACTCAGTAATGCTGATTTTTCAGTTATCCAGCTGATTCATGATACAGTACAGCGTCCAATAACTGGAAAGAGATAAAATCCAGATCTCAAAGCCACCAACAACCAATGTTTTTTTGGGGGGGGGATAAAGCATGCACGTTTGATTTTTCCCTCTCATATTAAAACATGTGGGAAGTCTCGATTCTTAGTCTCACTTTGGCACTAAATAAAATACCTCATTATTGAAGAAATAATCATTTTAGCATAAATTTGTGTGATCAGTAATTTGATTCCATAGCTGCATATCTGCTTGGCACACATCTCAAACTGAGACATTCTACATAGAAATATTGTAGATTTTACACAGACTAATATTTTATATTCTTGTCGCCAACCTGACAAATCATTATTTATTATATTTTGCTCTCATTACTGCATGTTTGTCAACCCATGACAACTTGAGTAATGTAACAATGCCTAAAAAAATTTTTTATATTAGTAATTGAATAAGAAAGAGTATAATAACCTTTTCTGTTGAGGTTACGCTTGACTCTGATCACAGATTAAAGTTAAACGTGCTGAGAAAGAAATATTGACGAGAAAAGACTTCACAAAAATTTCTTTCCATATGCTAAAAATTAATTTTGTTAATGATACTCATAGGCCAAAAGATTACATTTAGTGCTATTTGGATTAAAAATAACTGATTTGTTATTCACATTAAGCAAGAGCTTGCATGGCTGCACTGGACGGCAGAATTAAGGGAAGAAGAACAGTTAACAGAAGTGTTTCATTGCGATGGGAATACCCGAATCAATTAACAGATGGCAAAATCTGTAGTATGGTTCTAGATCCCATAAAATACCGATAGTGAAGAAAATGACAGTGAGGTTATTGAAAACGAAAATATTTTGATTGACAAGTTAGTCGGAATTATCAACACAGCAGTTACAAGACTTAAAAACTAGAGCTTTGTAACTGAGTAAGAAATTATAGCTGTCTGTAGATTTAAAGATACAGTATTAGCACAAAAAAACAAAGCAACTTAAACAACTTACATTGAAAGAAACGTTTAATAAAGTAAACATATAAATATTAAGCTTTGATACCCTTTATATCATAAATACTTCATTATTTCATAAATCATGATTTCATATTTTTAATTTTATAATTTCTACATGCCATCTTACTAGACTTAAACTGATTATCTTATATCCGGGATTGCCAAAGTCTCGACGAGTCCGGATCTCGGACTTTGTACTGTAGTATGAGTTTCAGTGTAATAACTCATTAGAAAGTATAAATTAATCTTTTATTAATGTAATGAATTTTTCTCTCAATTCAAAATTACATCTGCTAGTGAAAATGTAATTAATTATGACCTTGTAAGATGTGTGAATAAAATAAAATGTGAGCCTTTCCCTCCCTTGAGAATAGATCTAATTTTTTAGGGCAGTAGGCAAGCACATTTATGTGTAATTATGCCCAGGTACTTTTTAAAGTAATATTTGTAACAGTTAGAGAAATTTAAAAAAAATAATAAATAAATAAAGGTGATAGCAATCTATTTTCTGTCCTCTAATGAACTGAATAATAGACAGTAGGCAAGCACATTTATGTGTAATTATGCCCAGGTACTTTTTAAAGTAATATTTGTAACAGTTAGAGAAATTTAAAAAAAAATAATAAATAAATAAAGGTGATAGCAATCTATTTTCTGTCCTCTAATGAACTGAATAATAGACATGTGTTCAATTCTTGGTTTTGCTGTATGTACACTGTATACAAATGTTGCAAATTTTTGTTCTTTTTTTTTCACATAATAACCATTCTTAGACAAGATTGCATAAATAAACCCTTATGCTCTAGTGCTAAAGATTCTGCCTTTTATTTTGGGAATAAGAATTTGTGGAAACTTTTTTTTTAAGATCTTATGTAATTTTTAACTGTGCCTACATTACAAGGAGTTAAGTGCTCTATATTATCATTTCATGTATAAAAGATTCTAATTAAGATTGGCAATATTTCCATTTTGTATAATCTAATCCTCTCCAAAACTACTTTATGATATGACTATTAACAATAGGAATGCACTAGTGAATACTAAGGAGAGAGGTAGGTATAGCATCAACCAGAATAAGAACTAGAAAATTTTAATTTTCGACTTTTAGAGAAAACCTATGTGGAATTGTTAAGATATTTACATATAAAAATCATGTCAGCAGATGGATATGTTTTAAAAGCTATTTCAGCACATGCATTAACTAAGAAGCTCAACTTTGGCTATGGATTCTAAACTCAACATTGAATTGGCTACATTGAACACTTGAAATTATTAAGAAGAAATTTTAGAGTGTGAATTTTTTAGTTACTATAATAATTGTAATTACTTGATAATTCATTTATTTAAACTACATCTAAGCATGTGTAATTTAATTTCATGGGTATTTAAAATTTCCTTGTGAAAGAATATTGATAAATAAATTTTTGCTGACCTTTGAGAGCAGCCCTTTTGCGTAGTGACATCTGATACAGTATACTTTTCATAGCTTCATAAAAGATTCTTTGGTGAATCAGGTGTATAATTATTTTCATTTAGATTAAATCCAGTATTTGAAAGCTTATTTGGCAGAAAGATTTAAAACATTGTGGTCTGTTTCAGTGGTTTGCAAGTTGACTGTTCATATTAATGTAGTCAATTAGAATCAACTTTTTAAACAGAGAATTCTAGTGGAATCAACCTGTATGCATGAAAATTGACTACTGAATGCAGAGTCGTAGCTAGGGTTTTCAGCGCCCAGGGGCAACTGAAGATTTCGCTCCCCCCTACTGCTTGCCAAGGATGGAAAACATTTGATTCTAAAATGTCATAATATCAATTTGACGCCCCTTGGATTCTGCGCCCGGGGACAGATCCCCTTGCCCCCCTCTAGCTACGCCCCTGACCGAATGACAAAACAGTTGACATTATAAAAATGTAGTGAGATAAAACTTATAGTATAGTAAATAATACTAAATATTGTCTTATCTTGAGATAATTATAAGTAAGATAAAGTACAAAAGAATTAAACCATGAATAATAAATGAAGAATTTTGAAACTTTCAGTTGAATGTTAAATTATTTAAAAAAATTCTAGATTAAACATAATATGCTCATTCAAAAATTCATCTCGTATTGATTAACTAGTTTTCATCACTTAGGATTACTGAATTACTAGAGCTTTTCATTTAAATAGAGAATTTCGTTTCTTAGTTCTCAAGCTTTCTTACTATTACTGCTGTTTGTAGCCTATTTTGTTAGAATGTAAATATTTTGCTTCTGTGTAGATTATCAGACATGAGATTTTTGTTTTGATGTTACTAATGGCTGAGACTTTTTATGTTCTTCATGTAACTGTGATACATCAGCTTAATTCAGAAGCTAAACTTTTAATATGTGTGAAAGAACTCTGATATGTCACCCCTAATTCATAAACTGAGCTTTTAATGTCTCCCCCCCCCCTATTTTCATTGAGTGGGTTCATAAAGGAAAGAATATGCCTTTTAAATTTGGCATTATTCTTGTACTGAACTTTTTCATTAAAGCCCTACGACTAGGTGCATTTTGTATAATTCCTCAGCACCAGGTGTCACCAGTTTGGTTTGGCATCTTTCCTGTCTCGATAGTAGTCTTTGTAACCTTTGCTCACACAAACTTATTTTTTCATTTAGTTAGTTTATTATTTAACTGCAATGTTTTCCCAAATTTGGGATTTGCAGAAAGGTGAACAAGTGGCTATCTTTTTCCTCGAGAAAAATATATTCTTTTGGAAAGAATGTGTTCAAATAACACTTCATGAGATTAAAATGGGACTTGAAGCCAAAATGGCTGTGCAGCAATCATTTATGCTGGAAATGAGTGTCTAGTGTTAACATCTGTTGAGTTCCACAAGCAATAAATAGGTTTGAAAAAAGCTTCAAATTTTTTTCAAATGAATCACAACACAGCAGTTAACTGGGGAAATTGTGCGAAAGAGTTTTATGCCAATTCTATAGATTAATGTTAAATTAAATAAACACAACAAAAATTGCAGAAATTTTTATAAAAGGTTATTAAAAGAAGAAGAAAATTAAAGAAAAATACATATCAATATATGCGACATTCTTCTACCATAGCAGGTCTTTACAGAATTTTGTTCTTAAAATTAGAGAATGTTTTCTTGTTGCTGATCCTGATTGTTCTGTTCCATCTAAAATAGGGGCAAAGG